CTCCCCTATCGATCTCCAGGTTGGATCCGCTCAAACTCGGGTTCCCTGGATTCACGTTTGGTCAACAAAACTGCGAGTATTCTCACCGACCACCCCCCCCCCCCCAACGGCCCAGCCTGGAGGCACCGCCCGTCAGTGATCTCCCACGTGGCGGGATTTCCTGCGAAGGAGGGTGACTTTCAGGTGAAGGGGAACCGATTTTGACACATACCCGGCTCACTGAATTTCCCTTTCAAAAGTTACAATCTTGCTGGTGGGTTCCGATGAAACTGCTACTTTTGGAGGTCCAACAAAGAGGGGAAAATTGAAGGAACCCTGCAAAAACGAGACTAGGAGCGACAGTATGGACAAACTGCGGCAGTTGGGATTGGTGGCGTTTCCAGTATTCACAGGGTTTCACCCATCCCAACTGGTGCAGATTGTTGTCCATCTACAGGAGGAAGTTGAAACTGGAGAATAGTTGGGTTTCCTTTTGGTGTCCCTTGAACATCCCATCAAAAGGGACACACCGTTTTACCGCTCCCACAAATTGAATGAAAACCCACTCCTTTTCAGCCGCTTTCGGCCGGAAGGGAAACTATCGAAACAAACGCAGTCTGCAACTGTAGGAAACACGCAAGTCATACGCTAGCTCTGCATCTCTTGGATCGCTTGACCACCCAGGCGTCGGCCGGTGCCAAGCTACTTGGGATGGCTATGGCACATGTGTCCTTTTGCTCAATGCCCTAACGGACCGCCTCAAAGGGTCACAAATGCAGAGCCCTGCTGGCAGGACAGCCCAAGCTTGCTCCAAAAGATTGACCCAAGGGCCTTTGGCTTAGCTGGCAGCCCAGAGCCCGGGCGGCACAGCCCCTAGTCATGGCGGAATCTCGTGTTCGCCCGGATGAACACCTTTGGTGCAGAATTGCTTCCGTCCGCGTCTTGGCAAAGGATCATTGGCATGCTGACAACCCGGCGATTTTGGCACACGCCCATATCTCCTGCATCTGTGTGCATTCCCGTGAACTGTCGTTGCCCTCGCAAATCAACTCCCTAGCAAACATCCGCAAGCCGAAACACCAACTTGCAGCGACAAGAAGATGGCGGAGCATGTCATGACTCCCCTTGGAAAGCCCTTTTGACAGCAGTACAACAGCATCCCTGTTCAAGGGAAAGCTGCATTTTCGGACTCCTGTGACAACAATTCTTCTAGCCCCCAAGAATCACGGAAGCTGACAGAGCAATTTAGAGTCCCGATTGTCATTTTGGGTTTGTCTCCAAAGATCTCCAGAATGAATGTGTCTTGGGTTTCTTGGCCACCGCCCAAGAATCGTTGCCCAAATCTCTGGAACTTGGCTGGAACCCTCCAGAACCCACCCCCTCCCCCAAGCCAGCCCTAAAAGCCAAAACCGGGCTTGGGCAAAATAACACGCACTTGATTTGCACAGACTCTTGCTGGTGCTCAGTAGGGTTTTGGGAATGAACCGGAAGGGGGGAAACCATAGCAAATTGTTTACAAGCACAGGCATATTTTTTTGGGGGAAATAAATGGCCCTGGTAGTTGATCAAACGACCAGGTAAACCTGGAATCGCCCTCTATTTTTCAACCAAATCAACCAAGAAGGACACCTATGTCTACAAGGGTCCTCCCCTCATTCCCTGCCTACCGCACCACGCCAGCCACTTGACAATTGACGCATCAGGACCCCTCCGTCGAAGCCGCCCGCGCGGAGGCCCGCGGCGCGCATGTCCCGGACCTCGGTCAGTGGTACCCTTGGGGCTCAGACCCTTCCCGCTTTTTGCTTTCCTCACCTCACCTCACTCAAGGGTTGGTATGGTCACCAACCATGCCCTAGGGGTGGGGTTGTAACAATCAAAACCCGGTATCAAACTGATCGACCCAGAACCACGCAAAGAATTGAGAAGCCGGATATCCGCAGCTATTTCTGGTTAAAATCGTCCCTTAACCTTCATCTACCCGGGTTTTGATTGTGACTCACCTCACACACCTGTTGGTATGGTTGGTCAATCACCATGCCGTAGGGTATAGCAAACCTCGTTTGGGAGTGTCCTGAATCTACATTGGGCTGTTGGCCCGGCAAAAGAAGTGTTTCATCTTTGGCGAGTGGCAAAAAAGATAAAGATCCGACCGAGCGGCAGCCAAGCCATTTTGCCTGAAGATAGTCTTGTTGATCCCGTTTTACTTATTGTTATGGATCCAAAGGTTATGGGTCGAGCAACAGGCGTTATCGGCTTCAGGGTCTGTGCTTCCCAAGCCCTGGTGTCTTAGCAAAACATTGCCTGAACCTATGGTGAGTCTGTTGTCGAAGACAAGCCTATGGTATGAGCCCGCTTGGACCACGCCGTTTCCCCTGGAAGGCGTGACTGACGAAGCTCATTGCCTTGTTTCGACAAGAACATACGTTCGGCCACGAGTTTTATTGGGGCGCTCTTGAAAGTGATATCCCCCAAAGCGTCCCCAAAGGAAATTCATACGCATGTGGCAAGAGGAGCCACAAAACACTAAGTTGCAAATCAACACAGGTTTGGCGTCACATAAACAACACCAGCGCTTTCTGGGACCATAGTCGACTTGTACCACTTTTTCACGGGGGCACAACACATAGCCAGTTTACGCATGTGGACCAATAACCTTACCCACACGTGACGAGCCTTTGCCTGGAGTAACCTCTCGCGCAGGAAAACTCGCCAGGTGTGTTCCTTTTGTCCACTACGACAAAGTTCGTGGAGCGAACAGTCGAAAGGGGTCTCGAAAGTACACTTGCGAAGTCACTCCCAAGGACAAACCAACAACAAACCTGAAACCTGTTACAACTGGGACTAGCCATGGACCACACAAGTAGGAAACCTTAGGGTAGGCTGGGCAATTGACAGAAATTGCACATCAGGGATCCTGCATACGAGTGCAGGACGTTAAGGCGGGGGGGGGTTAACAGTTCTTTCGCAATGTCGACTCAGGATGAACAACCGCATGTTTGATTGGTGCGGGGATGGATGCCAGTTTGCAGTCAAAAGTTCACTTGTTGGGTTTCTCACCCCCCCCCCCCCAGGTTTCTGATTGATCCGTGAGCAACATTATCGCAAACCCACCCTACTGCTCCCACCCTGAAAGAAAACCAACATGGAAGTGCACAGACCCCTTCTGGAAGACACCTATCCTCTTGGAAAGAGGGTCTGCGCATTCCGCGTCGGTGGAGTACATCATTTACATGTCTCATCTTAGAGAAACTTGACAAGCAAGCAAACAAACAAACAAACAAACAAACAAACAAACAAACCAACCAACCAACCAGTAACCAGCCAGCCAGCCAACCAACCAACCAACAAGTCGCAGAATTGACGAACACACCTGGGGTCCCAGCATAGAGCCCTAGGCCGCACCCGAAATCACCGACGCTCACCGCCTGCAAAGCGAAAGAAAGGCGAAGGGGTGAAGACAGCTGGATGGATATAGGCAATATGTATTGGCAGCATATAGATTTGATCGATAAGACAAGATCATCCATATATATATATATATAGTATACACATACATACGACATACATATAGCAGTGAGAATTGGACTCGAACGATCATTCACGCTCTGCTCATCATGAATGGCAACGGTTGGGAATGCTTGGCATTCAAGCAGTGCCGGAAAGGACTTGTTTAAAACCCAAGCGCTCACGCAAGTGGCTTACCCACTGTTGCAAAGGGAGCCAAGTCCGTTTCCAAGTCTGCCAAGTCAGCTTCCCCCTCGTAGATGGTTTGGATTGGTGGTTCGGAGGTCAGCGGTTTTCCTTATTTACCCTCTACAAGAACCAGGGGTTCAAGTCCCCAAGTGCAAACCACCAATCCACACCACCAATTAGGGGTTACAAGTTGTGAAGGGCGAATCCATCTCGCCGCAAAAATACTAGGTTGCTTTCTGCTCCGCTGCTAAAAGTGTTTGACTTTTAGTGGGTTAAACAAAGAAAAAAGAAAAAAAGAAAAACCAACATTAGTCGGCAAACAGTTAAAGTCCTAACCCTTGGCAAAATGCACCAAAGAAAACCAAAATCTGCGGCGCAGCTGCCTCGCGTGACTGGAAGAAGGTGATGAGCGCATCCGCCAGCGGCCTACAGAGTTATCCCGCTGATCGCGGAATTCGACTGGGGTTCCAAAAAAACAAAAAAAAACAAAAAAAAACAAGCATGGGGCCTTGTAAACATTGCCCCAGCCAGAAGCAAGCAGAATCTGATGTGTCTGAGGGAAAAACTGCCAGCCCTCGATCGACAGGAGAGCGGCTTCAATGACTTGCTCAGTAACAGCAACTCTTGGCTTGGGACCCCGCTGGTATACTCTCCGACTAACACCTGCTAGATCTGGCAGGGGAGGGGATCCCTCCCACAGGTGCCTTTTCTTTTGGTACTTGGGTATTGGTAAGTTGCTGACCGTCTGAAAGGTTGTGCCTTAAAAAATCAGACACGTCAACAAGGATATCCTCAAAACAAGGACATACCCACAGGAGGCTGTGGCTCGAAATGCCGGGCCGAACACCTCACTTGAGTTCGCCCGCAAGAAAGACCTCATCAACTTCGCCCGCTCCGGCGCATTGCGCTATCCAGAGCACCCTTGAGGTAGGGGTCCACCAGAGTTTCCCTCTTTTGCTTCAGAATTGCTCAGATTGGTGTCCCATGCGACCGGAACTGCGAATCGAATCTAAGCCGAAAGGCCAACTCTTCGGGGCCTGTCGTGCATGTGGTATCCAGCCGCTTCGGTGCCGACCCACCTCAGAGACCAAAGGGAAAAGCTTGCGGATGCGCAGGGGCTGAAGGGCTGAAGGAAGGCCGATTTTGGAAATGATGCTTGAAGTACCTCAGAAACCTTGTTCGGTGTTGATCTGTTCCAATGATCTTCCTTACATTTCGCGCCCTGCCAAAGCAAGCGTCCCCATCATATACGGACATTAGTACATTGACCAAGTGGGATTGACCGCTTGACCGCTCGGCTCCGAAAATGGCGGCCCCGCCCCGCACAGGATGCATAGACAGCTGGAAGGTTGCTTCCAACACAAACCACGCCTGACATCACATAGTGTGTTTTCCCGCATGAAGGAAACAAGCAAGCCTTTTGAAGGTTCAACGGAGCACTCAAGGCATGATCATCCAAGTGAGAGGAAGACGCCATATATGCAATTGGAACGCTGCCAGGCTTGGCGTTCTTATTGGGTGTTTGGAAAACCTGTTGCAGCTTCCTTTTGGGGAAGTGTTCGAAAAATACGCATTGTCTGACTTCCTGGTCAGTACTACTCACAGACAGATCGAAACAGGAGACCCTTGGAGATTTGGAGAGCGTGGTGTCCGTTTCGTCTGCTGTTCAAACAGCCCTCTAGTCAAATGAAAGGCTTAATCAAAAAGTAATTGCCAATGAAAAGCTTGCCACAACTCAGAAGGGTTGCCAGAAATCAAAGGCTTCCTACGACAGAAAGGGAATGACCCTAAGCTTTCAGCTGGGCTTCACAATTGTCTCGGGTTTTCCAACGCAAATGAGGAAACCCAACAGGCAAACCGAATTTGGGTTCTCCAACGCCAACGGTTGCAACCAAAAAAAACACACACACAAGGGAAAACAACAACCACCACAACAACACCACCAACAACCACCACCACCACCAGCAACCACCACCAAAGACGACCAGAGCCAAAAAGGATCCTTCGGCATCCCGGCGCGCCGCTGGGAGCAATGGCCAGATCCTGGGAGGCCTTGGGGATCCAGCGAATCCGTCGGAACCCGACAGTTACCGGATTAGAAACTTCCATTTGGTTCAGACCCCTGGGAAAAGTAAAATAAAATATTCCACGAAGTGATAGATTCCCTTTGAAACCAACAGAGGAGAATAAAACATATTCTTAAGCAAATGGAAGGAAACGGGGGGACATGTGTGCCATGGTCAAAACTTTTTTCTGGGTCTCTCTTTTTGAGGGTATTTTTGTTTGGTTGCTTTTCAAAGGAAACCAAAAAGGGTTTTCAAAAGAATGACGCACCCACATGGAAGCCCATGGGAAAATTAAGGCTCCGCGTGTCTTTGTATGGAAATATTATTGGGCTACCACCCCATGTCCCCGTGAAGCTTTGACCCAACTTCGGGAGTCAGCATGGGGTGATGGCAGGCAGTGGGGGGATCATCCTGGAATCGTGAAAGTCGACATAGCATGGAAACTCCGTCACAGAATGTGTGTTGACGTCATGAAACTCAACATGAAACCCTGAAAATCATTGTGAAATGCAATGAAAGTCAACATGAAACCCTGAAAGTCATTGTGAAAGACAATGAAACTCAACATGAAACCCTGAAAGTCCTTGCGAAATTGAAACTCAACATGAAACCCTGAAAGTCATTGTGAAATGCAATGAAACTCAACATGAAACCCTGAAAGTCATTGTGAAATACAATGAAACTCAACATGAAACCCTGAAAGTCATTGTGAAATACAATGAAACTCAACATGAAACCCTGAAAGTCATTGTGAAAGACAATGAAACTCAACATGAAACCCTGAAAGTCATTGTGAAATTGAAGCTCAACATGAAACCCTGAAAGTCATTGTGAAACGCAATGAAACTCAACATGAAACCCAGAAAGTCATTGTGAAACGCAATGAAACTCAACATGAAACCCTAAAAGTCATTGTGAAATGCAATGAAACTCAACATGAAACCCTGAAAGTCATTGTGAAATACAATGAAACTCAACTTGAAACCCTGAAAGTCATTGTGAAATTGAAGCTCAACATGAAACCCTGAAAGTCATTGTGAAATTAAAACTCAACATGAAACCCTGAAAGTCATTGTGAAACGCAATGAAACTCAACATGAAACCCTGAAAGTCATTGTGAAACGCAATGAAACTCAACATGAAACCCTGAAAGTCATTGTGAAATGCAATGAAACTCAACATGAAACCCTGAAAGTCATTGTGAAATACAATGAAACTCAACTTGAAACCCTGAAAGTCATTGTGAAATTGAAGCTCAACATGAAACCCTGAAAGTCATTGTGAAATTAAACTCAACATGAAACCCTGAAAGTCATTGTGAAACGCCTGAAAGAAAGTCATTGTGAAACGCAGTGGGTAACGGGTAATCATAAAGCTCGTTGTGACATCCAACATAATCCAGCAACTATGTCGTGATCGCTGAAGATCACCATGCAACCAGAGAAGCGCAAGGCTGGGATTCCGTCGCGGCCAAGAAGCACAAGGTCGTGATCGCTGAAGATCACCATGCAACCAGAGAAGCGCAAGGCTGGGATTCCGTCGCGGCCAAGAAGCACAAGGTTAGCTTTGCCGACATTCCAGCGGGGCAACCCTACTATTGGACGCTTGGTTTCAGAGGGAAACCGCACGGAGAAAGAACAAACGTGTGTGCAAGGTGGCTGTGTCACGAAACATTCGCCTGCGTGTGACCAAGAAAGCCTCGCTTGGCTCAGCAACAAATGCGACTTGACGGGGCCACGCCACCTCGACAGACACAACTCTGGGCCAAACCTGGAAAGGTTCGGAGGAAAGAAAGCTTCTGATGGAAGGGGTTCCTGGGTTGCAAGAACCTTCCTCAAACTTAGAGGGGTCCAACTTTGTCTCTCCTGATTCATTTGGCTAGTTTAACCGGGGACTATCTGGAAAGCCCCACGTTTTGAGGGTTTCCCAATTCAGAGAGAAGCCTATAAGTGGTCGCCTCAAATGAGGAGAGGGCACATTGTACTTGCAACCTCCTTTTAAAACCATCCCCAAAAAGGCTCCATAAACCTCCATTTGCTCAAGTCCCCTGGAAAAAACAAAATATTCCCAGTAGTGATAGATTCCTTTTTAAAACCGACAGTTGAAAATAATTAAAAAATATATATGGTACCCCCCCATGGACACTGGTTTGGTGCGTTTGACCTGTATTTTCCAGCGTTGTATGCTTCTTTTTGCGTCTTGGATTTGTGTCAAAATGGGGGGGGTCATACAGGTATATGATACGCATGCATGCATACAGATGTGATAAAAGCAATGACATCAGCATCTGCAATCTGAAAGAGTTTGAATGCATCCAAGAATACAAGAACAACTCAAACATTTCTATTTTTTAAAATTCTGGGAATCAAGATTCAAGATTCAAGAATGTGAGAAAATATTTTCTGGGAATCTTGAACCTTGAATCTTGAATCCCAGAACGTTGACTGCACCAGAAACTGATCGTCCACCAAAACAAGTGTGCGCCGATCAAGCTCCATGAGGGCACACCCAAAGGTCAACCAGCCAAGAGCCGTGATGCGAGGCCTGCGGGGCAACCCGAAGGCGAGCCGCCGGCTCACGTGCAGCCTCGCAAGAAGACGAGGGCAAAGATCAGGAAGAAGGCAAGTGCTGGACAGCAAGGCAATCCCGCACGACAGTAGAGAGGGGGGAGAAGAAAATCCCCGGCCCATTTACTGACTTGCGGGTATGCGTTCATGTACAGTGTGGACTCTACCACACGCGGGAATCGCCATGAAGAGTAACCAAGTTGTAAATTAAAGACAAACAACACCAAGGGACCTTTTAAGGGATTCGACCCGACCCTGGGCAGCACGCTTTTTCTTGAGCCAAATATACAAGTCAAGCAGTGCTGGCGGGGACCTCACAAGGGCCCCGTATCATGGCGATTCCCGCATGCGGTAGAGTCCACACTGTACATGAACGCATACCCGCAAATCAGTAAAAGGGCCGGGGATTTTCTTCTCCCCCCTCTCTACTGTCGTGCGGGATTGCCTTGCTGTCCAGCACTTGCCTTCTTCCTGATCTTTGTCCTCGTCTTCTTGCGAGGCTCCACGTGAGCCGGCGGCTCGCCTTCGGGTTGCCCCGCAGGCCTCGCATCACGGCTCTTGGCTGGTTGACTTTCGGGCGTTCCCTCATGGAGCTTCATCCCCGTGTTTGACACCTGGATTGCTTTTGGAGCTTCTTCAGAAATCCTGAACAGGTGTACGGCATTGTTCCATTTGTTGGTTTCCACGAACTTTGTGAACACGTCGGCACATTGATCGTCAGACATCACATGTCGCAGATGCACTTTAGGCAAATCTATTATCCCTATTGAGGCAAGGTTCACTTTATGAGTTCTAGTTATGTGGGAGTTTCTGACTGTATCCGGACCGCACAACCTTCTCCGTGGCCTCGTTATCCTCAAAGATGACAAGATCTACCTTTCTCCGCAACACAGTTTCCCAGAACGTGCACATCGGCAAAGCTTCTGCAAAGAGCCCCTGAGCTAATGCGATGACTTCCGATTCTGTTGCGCTTCTGGAAACGGCTGTCTGCTTCTTGGACACCCAACTTAATGGCCAGTTGCTACCCGAGCTACCTGCAAGTCTTAGCCAAACTCCGCTGGTCGAGTGAGTTGAATCACTGTCCCCAGAGAAATCGGCATCGACAAACAACTCAAGCCACAAGTTTTCTGGAAGGTCCAGAATTCGTCCGACGAGAGTGTAGTCTGTGGAGTAGGCAACATAACACATTAGCCTGTGCAGCATTCGGTCACAAGCTTTGCACCAGTGGCTCACGAATGTTGCCAGGTACGTTATGCCCTTTAGCAAGTCCGGCCTGCCAAGGCGAGCACCCCACAACAGCTTCATCAGCACTGCGCACGCATGGGTCTGCAATTGACCTTGCTCCTCCCACTCTTCAGGAGTAATGGATGCACGAGGAAGGAACGGTGTGTTGGCAGGCTTCAGTTGCGACTGCTTTGTGATTCCGAGACACATGTCCACTGCGGACTTCATGTAATCCCTCACATTAAAGGCTATGCCCTTACCCGATGCCGTTGCAACTATCTTGTGGTGCCTACCCAAAAACCTTCCCAGATCATCAACGTCTTCAATTTCAATGAGTTTTTCAAGGTCCTGCCAAAACCGAGAGTGTTCATGAGAAGCTCCTGACAAGAGCAAGTCATCAACATAAACAGTCATGACTAGGTCTCTGTCAGCAAAGGAAAAGGTGGACGGGTGACCACTCACTGGAATCCCGTTCCGTTGGGCTTGCCCACGGCTTGCTCGAGATGCTTCTGCCAATGTGTTCCCGATTCCGGGTGACCATATAATGATTTTCTCAGTCTTACAAGCGGTCGTTGATACCTACCCCCCCACCCATCAGGCCACACCTCACGTGGCAGGCGGACATAGGTATCATGCAGGCTGCGCAGGTCTGACTGTACATACGCCTTTACCGCGTCAGCGGATGAAGTTTTATTTTCTTCAAGCTGACCGTATGCGATGATGGCATTTGCTGTGGAGTTTGGAAGGAGAAGGAGAAGCAGAGAGGGTCTGATAAGTGGCGAGGGACCCATCCTGGTCTTTAGCATTATCTCCTCTGAACACTACCCTACCCTTTAGCTGTGCGCCTTCTTAGAACATATCGTCATTATGTCCCCTATGTGGATGGTGCTTTCGGACTCTCTGGCACGCTGGATGACCTCCCTCTCCTCCTTGACGGATGAGAGATCCCACGTGTTTTTGCTGGTCAATCCGTCAAACTCCTTCCTCACTGCAGCGACTGCTTTCGGATCCTTGATCCAGTCTTTGCGGTCTAGCAGCTCTGTTACAAGGGCCAGCTGAGGCTCCATGCTGATGCACTCTTGCAATGCGACTGAATTCCACTGGCATGTCTCTGCTGCAACTGCTGCAGGCCTGCTGGGCCCGGCCTCGGGGTGCGCAGGAATGTACCCCGGTTCGTTTGGGGATACCCGCGAGATCCGGAAGGCCCGACCCCGTCTAGGCTCACGTCATATCAGCGGTTGACCTGCAAATGTTGGCGTTGGAGGCACAGGTGTGGGAGTCGATGGCTCACGGCTAGGTGCGCTTGGGGCCTCAGGCGATGTCGTCGCGCCTTCGCGCTGCACCCCTGTCTCCTTTGCAGCTTCCTGCAGACACAGCTCATCGAACCTTTGTCTGCACTCCACTGAATGGTTGTATGTCACACCCATGGCACTTCTTGGTGAAGCCACGCTTTAACAACCTGCTAAAGGTTATGTACGCATGCTTGGGCCGCTGTGTCCCCACGTATGGCAACGCATCTATTGCAACGTCATATGTCATGACACCTGATTCCAAAGATCTGTCAAAGGCTTGAGGGAGGATGGGCCGGTGTCTATGTAACTACTGGTTGCTGACAATCCTATGCTTCGCCTAGAAGAGACACTCTGCCTAACTCTACCAGGTCGCTTAGGCTCTTGTTTCACCGGCTCACACGAGACTCAGTGCACCGGCTCTTCACCCGGTGCCACAGATCGCGCCTCTCTGCAGTCGTCGGCAATGAGTGCTCCTCCCTGCAGATCTGCAACCGGCGGATGATCGTCCGAATCGACAAGACAGTGTCCTCTACACGGCCTACACGATGCACCCAAAGGGATCTGCACCACCTCCAGTCCACACTGAAAGCACCTTTCTCTGACCTCCTTGAGAATGTCAGAGGCGTCGTCAATGAGGGCTTGGGCGCCCAACGCAAGGACTCGCTGTGCCTTCGTCTCGAGGCTGTGATCCCAAGTGTTGTGCAACCAGGTCTTCCGGTACACAAAGGATAAGGGCACGTGTGCAAGTGGGGAATCCGCAAGATGTTGGCGAACCTCGTTCTCTCTCTTGCGACCACCAACGTAGGATACAATCTCCACGTTCGACACCTTCTCCAAATTCAAAATCGCCTGCGCTATCTGATCTGCAATGTGCCCACCAAACTCGATTGTTTGATGAAAATCAATGCAAACAAGTGAAGCGATCTCCGGCAACACTGGCTCGTCCGGCACCTCAATCACCACGTCGCACTCGATGTGGGTCTGATGTTCTGTCTCGGCACAGAGATCTCTGGCTGCTCTGGCTGCTCTGGCCTGGACTCCTCGTCCGACTCTCTCACCCAGACGTAACTGTGGAGCCCCACCTCGATCCGGATCCGACCACGGGTGCTCCTCTTGAACCTCGACCTCTTCGGTCTCCTCCGCCGCGGCTTCAGATGCCCGTCCAGCTGCAAACCCCTCTTCGTAGGCCTGCTGCCTGGTCCGATCAGCCTTCCTCTGGCGAAAGTGCGTCCTGAACTCTTTCCTCGCGTATGCATACGACACCGCGCTGCAAGAGCAGTACGGCTGATAACCCGTTGAATGCACCAGAAACTGCTCGTCCACCAAAACAAGTGTGCGCCGATCAAGTAAAGTGGATGCAGAATATAAAATGCAAATAGGCTTCGGCCAGTGCGATGGCGTGCAATGTAAACGCGACACACCCAAGTGCTCAAGACGTGTCAAGTTCAATGGCTGCAAGCGAGCCCAACTTATCCCAGATCACAAGAGTAACCAAGTTGTAAAGACGAGCAACACCCAGGGACCTTTTAAGGGATTCGACCCGACCCTGGGCAGCACACTTGTTCTTGAGCCAAATATAGAAGTCAAGCAGTGCTGGCGGGGACCTCACAAGGGCCCCGTGTCATCGCGATTCCCGCATGCGGTAAAGTCCACACTGTACATGAACTCATACCCGCAAATCAGTAAAAGGCCCGGGGATTTTCTTCTCAGATTATATTTTAAATATGGATTCAAGATTCAAGAATCTGAGAACATATTTTCTGGGAATCTTGAATCTTGAATCTTGAATCCCACAATTCTTAAAACGTTTTAAAAATCCAGGGCTGTCCCAATACTCCCGGTGTTCAATAAAGTTCTCGGAACAGTTTTCCGTGAAATATGTCAATCCAGTGGTAAAATATGTTCGAGGTGATAGAACAACTTGAACATTTTAGGGGTTGACCAGGATGGATGATTCTCAGGAAAGTGGTGGTTTGTGGGCTCCTCAATATTGAATCCCCAATCCATTGGTAAAGCACTTTCAAGTATTAGAAGAACTTGAATGTTATTTGGGTTTGGCCAGGATTGACAATTCTCAGGAAAGTTTTCTGTGCAATCTTCAATCTTGAATCTTCCATCCGATAGTAGCATATTTTCAAGTGCTTAGCGATGCAGTGGACACACTTTCAAGTGATTGGTTAGACGAACTTTCAAGTGCTTTTGTTGAGCTTCATTTCAGGTATGCTCATGTTGACCCCTTTCCAGGAGGTAAACAAAGGCAGGTGTAACGCTCAAAAATACTGTATTTTCCAGTACTTTATGAGGAGGCGCAGGATCATTGGGGGTACTATATATAGTGTATATATATATATGTGTATGTATGTGTATATATAGATATACATATGCATGTGCGTTCACACACCGTCCCCCACCCTCTTGAACTACCTATCCACATTTGCTCATCTACTACCTCCACCTTTTGAGATAGAATTAACTTTCCTGCGCAAATAGAACTTTAAATACAATGGTTTAGCTAGAATCCCTGTTTCGAGATAGTTTTAGATGTTGAACCTCTCTTCCCTTGAAATTTCCCTTTGGAACACCGTCTAACAAGTTCAATGTCGGACCTTTGAGAATGTAAATAACACAAATTGTATTTTGAATTTCCTTGTAGAAGTCCCTTAAATGTTTAGCCATGTTTAATATGAATTATATTTGAGATGTAGTCTCTATTCACTTGATATTATCAAAAGCTAATTGAGTTGTGTTCGTCTTAGATTATATTTAACACTTGGAATATATTTGGGAGAAAACTTCCATCTAACTTCTTGTGTTATAGATTAGTTGGAGTTTAGCCGAAAATGTATATTTACATTTTCATATAGCTGCTGTTTGGAAAGGATTTGCTTGTTTAAGCTGTAATTGAACATAAACACATTTTTGAAAACTATATCCTTACTAAACTATATTCAAAATTCCAATTCTAGTTGAAGTAACATCTTATTTGGAAAGGGTATCATACTGGGACATTGTGGAGGACTCCGGGCTCCAAATTGTCACGCTTTGGGGACCCACAATTGGAAATTTCGAGAATATAAATTTTGAAATTCTAGATTTGCCATCCCCAAAAGGCAGTAAAACCAGGGTCCATGGGAGGGGGGGTTGCATATATATATATATATTGTTAAGCAAATGGAAGATCCAGAAAGGCTCCATAAACAACCATCGAAAATTATGTGGCACCGATCCGATGATCCTCGCGCGGCGACTCTGTGCCGCCCCGCCAGGGCAAGCTCCTGCTCCGCCTCCTCTCTCCGGCCAAGACCTCTCTGGGAAGCCCTGGTTGAGCCGAAAGGAAACCAACTTCTTCCTTCTTCTTATTTGTATTTATGTATGATTGTTCCTTTTTTTGGGGGGGTGTCCTTAGTTGTCAACAAAGCCAAAAACAGCAAATGGAAAGGGTGCCCTAGTTCCCCTGCCCTAGCTCTCCCCACACAAAAGCGCAAAGGAGGCAGTGGACAACTGGACAACTGAAACTTGCGGAGAACGTTGAGATCCAGCATGTCGTCTCCACAATTACTCTCCCATTTGCTCAGTTGCTGATCAGTTGTTGCTGACACTTCATGACAAGTGAGTGACCTTGCTGGATGAACACACAAGCAGCAAGAACTCCCAGCTAAACTTTACTAAATCAAACCGCGGCTCCATAACTATGGACCTGATCCGCGGAAAATAATTGGAAAAGCTTCAGTGAGCCTTCATGGCTGGCGTCATAATTTCTTTCCTTTACTTGGCAACAATTGTCAGAATGGTGATCTCAATATAGGTCAAAGTTAAACCACCAGGAATTGGAACGCAGGTTTTAGTCCTTTACATTTACCGATCGGGCAAGCCATTTTGGCTACCTATTTTGACAACCACACCCATATCATGCTACTCGAATCAGCTCCCATGTGCTGTGGGCCTGCCGCAGGCGAGAATGACATGGGGCAAACGAGCAGTGGATTGCCCATTCTCCACGAACCGACCTCTTTGCTCTTCAAGTGCTAGTTGTCGTGTAGCGAAGCCAAAGCGAAGCCTTTCGAAGGAAAAAAGAAAGAGAGGGGCATCCGAGTCTCGACACTCAGCTCTTCAGTGAAAGTCAAGTCAAAAGTCGTTTGGCCACCACAGAGCCAAAGCTGCCCGGCCCCACCCTCTCGCCCACAGCTTAGTCCCGCGCGCCCCAGCACCACTGCCAGCAGAGCCCGCGCCGTGGGCACAGACCTAGGGGGCTAGAAATGGGTCTATGGCGACATGCAGCCGGCAAGACCTGCTGAATCCGCTGTCAGATGTCAAGCAAAGGACATCTGAGCAACGTCCACATCCAGGAGAAGTTGTTCAAACATAGTTGCCCCCAGGCCACGTGAACGAACATCCTCACCCCTGTCATGTGTCTGTACAGAAAACCTGAGGAAGATGCCTCTCGCTTGCGCGACTGTCAGATACAGGTGCCAGCATACACGAGCGAGGAACGCGGCAATGCAAGTACATTTTGTTCACTCCCTGATGCTGCAAGAACATGTCAATGGAAGTTTAGCTAGAAACTTTCATAGTACTGGAACCAATTGAGGCTAGCGCTCTCTAAGAAATGCATGCGTTGCGCCTTACTAAGCGATGAAAGCGTTCTCAGAGCGAGTGCGGGACCATTGGCACGGCCGCGCACACTGCTTCTCACCCCTTCATCGGTGAACCCTGTGCACACTTTAGCTCGTGGTTGTTTTTGCGCTTTTCACTACGCGTGTGCAGCCCTCTGCGTTGTTCAGCTTACGCAACTATCAAAAAGGTGAGCCCTTTGCGGACTGCTGATGGGTCGACCTCAAACAACGCGTGGCTCTTGCTTTGTTCACTTCGCTCGCTGCACCCTCTAGCTAACTAATCGGCTATTTGGCCAGGTAGCAGTTGATAGGCAGAAAAACAGCTTGATAGAGAAAGGTTGGTAGATAAATAAACACTGACAAGCATGTCTATTGCTTTGTATGTAAAAAAACAATGCATGGATGGATGGATGGATGGATGGATGGATGGATGGATGGATGGATGGATGGATGGACGGAGGGACGGAGGGAAGGACGGAGGGACGGAGGGACGGAGGGACGGAGGGACGGACGGACGGACAGACAGACAGACAAAAAACAGACAGATAGAGTAGACGGCTATATAGATAGATCAGACAGATAAGATCGATAAGATAGATAAGATAGTAGATAAGATAAATGGATGGCAACATGCATGTGGCACACGAACCCAGGACATAGTCTCCGGTGTGAATGAAAAGTCCCAATAAATGTGCTCAAAATGGCTTGGTGACTTGCCGCCGCGCAGGGATTGGGGCGCGTTCAAATATTGATTATCCCAGTTGTTTTGGGCTGTTCAAAATAGAAACATCAGTTCTCGAGGGTCTTCCTTTTGAGCAACACCCATTTCATTGATATGGAAGATGGCAAAAGTAAAACAGCATTGCGCAGCTGCTAATGGTGACCAACGCAATCCTTGCAAGCTGAAAATGCCACTGGTCTAATCCACTGCCAACGTCAGCATGGAGCGGTGGATCCTACTGTCTCATCTCGTCATCTGACATATTGGATGAGTCAAACAAAGAAGTGTCTGCTTCTTCCCGATCACCACTCAGTGCAACAAAATGCAGAACCTTTGAAGATCCGCAACCCAACGGCAAGCAAGGACGCTTGACCATGCGAAACATGGTCCCAAACATGACCAAGTATCGCATGACCGAGCAGGCGACAAAAGGGACACCTCGCCCCTCATGACCCGAGAACCTGTTGCCGCCATGGCGCGTGGACCGGTCCTCTGGCGAGGAGATGGTTCGTCTGAGGTCGCCTGCGGTTTCAACGGGCCATGGGTTTCGCTGGGAGAAAAAAGCGCCGAATTTGGGTGACCCGTTGAATGGAAAGACATGAGTTCCTTTCGGATACAAACAAGGACATGACTGTCACATGACTGTCCTTTGGCGCAAGCAATCGCAACCCGTGTCGAGGGGCCTTGAAGTGAGTCCCCTGACCGAAGTTCGATGGGGCAAACCTGGCATGGCTTAGGTCATCGGTCATAGTCATGGATGAGGTGCGTATAGTGAAGCCAAACGCAAGGTCATACAACTGGGATTTCATCAAAGCACCCGAAGCCACCCTGCGGAAAAAAAACGGAAAGAACACACACAGTGGAAGAAAAAGAACACGTCCAATGGGTCACATCCAATGGATCTCTCCGACCCAGTCGAGCCCATCCATCTCAGCCCAAGCTCCGGGCCCTCAAAGGACTCTAAGCTCGCCCCATCCGCCAAGATCGCATCCACCTTGCGCTCCAGCGCGACCTCATAACATGAAGAAGAAGAAGAAGAAAAAACGCGGAAAGCCACCGGGAACCCAAAAAAAACGCGTCGCGCGATCCTTTTTGTCCCCCCCCCCCTCCAGTGGTGTTTTTTTTTGTTTTTCACGAGAGACCTGGCTTCTTCATGGTCATGGCAAGTGGGAATGGACTTGTGGCCAGTGGGAAAGGAATGAAGCAGAGCCAGGAGCCATGGAATCTTGTTTCCACTTGGGTGTGGCTCATACTAAACGATCGGAGCGGCACACCGCAGGTTTTGGTCCATGTTTCCACTTACCAGGGTTCCATTTTGGAATTCCGGTCTTTTGGAGCCGCAGCCACTTCTGTAGGTAAAAGTGGCCTTCCCGAGGACTTGCCAATTCATCAGAAGGGGGGCAACGGTTCTCTGATGTCGCCGCGGGACAAATACACGAAAATTCCCACCATCTTGCCCCCTCACCTTCGCCGGAGGAACCAACCAAGCACCGAAATGCACGGGAGGGACACGTCTTGGACCCCAGAAACGGGGACCTCCGCCACTCGGTGGGCCGTTCGGTGACTTGTCTGCTCTCGATGTGAGGGCGAGCTGCTACGCCGGTGAAAGGGACGGGGTGAAGGGATGACCATTGAAAGCTGCGGATCCAGGATTAAGCCGCTGTACATAGTTGGTCTTCGGAAGCCTTCGACATCACTCCATCCCTAACTCTTTCCTTCCCATCCCCACCTTTCTATTTCATACTATCTGAGCTGGGAGACAGAAACATATCTCACCAAGAGATGCTAGTAGGGATGGCTTTAGCTGAAGGCCTGCCGTTTGCCTCTTGTTCTGCCCCACCCAAAAGGAGGGGGGAGGGGGAACCGTCCAAGTGGCTGCCTCAGGTTGCAGCCGGCGCTCCTTCACCAAAACACGCCAGGCTCAGGGGGCGCAAGACCAAATCCAAGCTTGCAAAACGAATGATGCTCGAGACGCAAAAGAAAAGGAGCCTTGCCAAATCCCCCACCAACTGCAATCCATGAAAGCCCTCGCTTGGTATACGTGATGTTTCTTTTACCAAGGAATGGGAGACTATGGGAAATGTATGAAGGGGCTCCCTCAATGGACCCCTTCCTTCCTTGCTTCCTCCCTTCCTCTTCCGCGAGAGACTCCATGTCTGTGCCGTTTGCCTGGGTGAAACGAATTACTGAACTACCCTTGGCAGCCAAAAAAATCAAGACCTACACGCGGCTACTACCCGTCTGCCAAGCTCTGCACCCAGAAGAAAGGGACCCGAATACACCTCAAGGCCCCGGCCAGCAGGCCGCTGTTGATGGCGTCGTGTCCTGCAAGGCGTTGACCGGACAGGGCTGCCCCCATGTTCACCAGGAGAGAGGTGGCCGTGGGTCAAAACCCTGTACCCCTGGTGAACATCAAAATAGGTGGCAAATGGATGTTCATCCACCCCAAAATGGAGCCATAGGTGATGCCCCATGGCCAAGTGGAACCTTGACAAAGAAAGCCATGGCCGCCCGAGAGTCTTGAGAAAAGAACCGATCCTACAAAGGCGGGAAGGGTCCCCAACAGGGCAGCCCTGTGCTTGACCTCCCAGGGTGTCATCCAAGATTGTCACTCATCGAATGTTGTCAGTTGGCGCCTGCCAGAATTCAGCGGCTTCAATTGTGCAGTGAACAAGCTCGCGCGCTGGCGAGAGAATAGCTGTTGGTCAAACTTTGCTGTTGGCCTAAAGTCAAGGAACGATTAGAGTGTCCCATGCTTCTTTAGACAGTCCATGACAGTCCCCAATGTCTCTCGCAAAAGGAGCATAGACTACTGCAATGTTGAACCGAACCTCATCTCTCATGAGGCTAGGGCTTTGGCTGCATTGGGCCATGGCAGTGTGGACCACACTGGGGCACTCAAAATGTGCCGCTATGATTCCAAGCTCAGCAATAGCCGAATCAAGTGCTAGCGGCTACCTGGGTTACCTCACGCCATGTCCCAAGAGAAACCCGGAGCAAGCACTCTGGAGCTTGATGGCAACACCCACTGTCCGACTGCTGATTAATAAGCCTTCTAGTTCGTTTTGCCAGACCTCCTTTCCGCTGACTGGATTCCAATGGGCTCAAAGACATGAATCCCAACAAAGGCATTGCAACACCACCAACTGATTGCGACCAATGGATTCATGGCTTCCAACGACTGGCACACAATCTGGTCATGGAACTGAAGCGCCTCCGTGTGACGCATCTGAAATCAACCAGATGGCAACAGTTTTTGGATGCGATTTCTGAAGTCGGAGTGCCCACGCCTGCTAAACCCGTCCAACTCGTTGGTTTCGCATTGTTCTTTTGACGGGACCGCCTTTGAAGTGCCAAGTCTTGACTCCCAAAAAATCGTTGCTGCAAAGTGGGCCCTGAATAGACCATCCGCGCATGGTTGAGCTGAAGCTGATTTTGGCAGAAACCGTGCGAGACATCAACCAAGACTGACTGGCCACCCAGATGTGTACGGAAAGCCGTTGGTGTCCATAATGCTTTTCATATCGCGTCACTCCTCCCTCTGCATCGTGCTCCGGTTCTGGCCGCGTGCAGCAAGGATCAAATTGAAAGACGCTATCCTCAGTGGCGAGAGCATGCACCCATGTGGACAAATGCGAGAATTACCAGGTCCATGGGGTGGCTGTCAAAAATAGGGGCGCTTCTGGAACTCTGGCAACATGGTGTGCCGCATTGAGAAGAAGTTCAAAAGGAGACATACTTGCGACAACATTTCTTCCCTCGCATACATTCTTTATCATAGCAAATGGCAAGTTGGCGATAGGAACAGTTGCTGATTGAAACGTAATTGGCTAATTTCGCTGTTGTATGGCTGAAGCATAGTCAACCATGCTTGACCAACCAAGCCTCTGATCATGAGGCCTGCAGCACAGGGATGCCAACTTTACACATCTGCCGAGCTGTGGCGTGTTCGCACTCTTCTTGCATACCCTTGCTCAATTCCATGAAACTAACTACCAGTGCCTCTTGCTGGACATCTCGATCCCGTACGTGCGTTGCCAAGCGAATCATTCCAGGGTATCTTAGGTGCGAAATAGATGTCGCAACCATCCGCAATATCAAACCAGCGGACATCCGCTCTGCAATGCTCAGCTCTGCGCCCAGCACGCGGGGTTCCCCTCCTTGCCGTGCCGCTCATTGCAGCAGAACCTGGCCCACGACTTGCTTCTTTCTCGCGCCACCGAATCTTCACACCCCAAAGCCACTGCCACCTAGGGAGGATTGGGTAAGTGCACCTTGGAAAGTGGCTGCGCGGTTGTTTACGGCAGTTTTTCTTTTGGGGGTAGTGGAAACCCCAATCGAACTCCTTTGCGCTCTTGTCCAAAGGCCAGGGTCTACATTGCGCACATGTTGCCCACTCGGCGCCGGAGCTTTCGCTTGGGGCATTCAATGGACCCGTAAAACCAACCACGAGCTGGTCAATCTGCAGGCGGTTGAGGAAGAAAAAAAGAGGGAAGGACGCCACTCAGGCGTCGTGCGTTTGCTGTAAACTCCACAGTAACAGCCCTAGACGCCGGCTCCAAACTCTGTGGCCCCGTGTCATTTGCTGGCTAGACTGTCCAGCCAGCGGCTGAAGAGCCCAGACAGCGCCGGCGCTGCAGGGGAAACAAATTGAGCGCCTTGCTGCTTCTCATGAATAAATTCCAGGCAACACGCGCCAAAGCCTTGTGCTTTTTATCTGAGATGCAAACCATCGTGTGGCCCCAGGCAAATGAGACCAAAGAAGAACATCGCACACCCTTTCCCCCGCCCCAACAAGCCCATCTCTTCTGACCGTGGGTCCAGTATGGGAAGCTTCACCTCTGAGCCTACGATCCTTTGCTTTCTTGGGCGGTTTGAGGCTAGTTATCTGGCAAGACCTTGCTGGCGAATTGAAAATGCAAAAAGGAATTTGCGCGCGCCGCTAATTCGTTTTTGGTTTTGGGCTCTTGGAAGCCTTGGTAGAGGCTCAAACGCCCTAAAGTCTAGTCAGTTGGCTGGCAAAACCATGGAAAACGCAAAAACGAATAAGTGCATGCCGCTAAGTCGCTTCTTGTTTTGGGGAGCGCGCGCCACTGTTTCGGTGCATTTTTGGGTTTGGTCTCCCATGGAAGCCTGTCGAGGAAAGGTCGGGCTCGAACCTCCCGGGCGCCGAAAGGAGATGCGGTTGTGTGGGCAGCCGGGTGGCAAAAGTTGGCTGTGTGGGTGGGTGCGTGGGTGCGCGCGTGCGTGTGCGTGTCTGTGCGCGTGCGCGTGTCCGTGCGCGTGCGTGCGTGCGTGTCTGTGTCTGGGCATAGCGGGCGAGAGGAATCCATCCAGTTATTTTAAGGAACTGTATTCGCGGGAGCGGTGCACAAGGTTTGCGCAAGGGAAGCTCATGCGAACGTAAGCGCGGAAGAAAACCTGTGTTGCACGTAAGCTCGCGCGCCTAGGCGTAAGAAGTCCTTTTGACCTGGGTTTGAACAAGACCTTTTGAATGCCGCTCAGATGTGTTTGTCACAAAATGCACGACATTTTGTGAGGCCGGCCCCGCGCAACCGCAACATGGTATACAAGAAAAATATTTCATTTTCTTGGCCTTTTTTGTTGCTGCAAGAGTGCCCTGATTTCGCAGCACGCGCTAATTTAGTTTTAGGACCCCTGCCGCTCCCAAATGCTTCGTGCAAGCCTTCGGTCAAACCTTGTTGTTTCCGCATTTCCGCATTTCCTGGATCGCTAGAAGACCTGGACTTGTCCCCTCATCGAGGTTTACGGACTCATCACTTTGCTGGCGCGTTGCTTGAGTTGCAACACTTACTACGATGGTATCTCCTCTCTTCCATGACCGGCAGATTCCGCAGCCTCGTGCGATGACGCCCGCCACCGATTCGCCAAAAGGAAACTGAAGACCCAGGTCCATCGGACATTCACGCAAGCTTTGTGAGGCTGAAGTAATAGAAGCGAGGGGGAGCCCTCCAACTTCAGATCCCCCCACGTCTCACAGCACGTGAGCACACCCTACGGCTGATAACCTGAAAATCGAGGGGAAACAGCGATGCGTCACAACAGCTGTGGATGTACTGCCCTGTAACGCTGATGCAAGAGTACCGAATACGAATCGCAGCAACGCAATCAGCTCGATACTATTTTCCTGCTCTCTTGAATCGCTCCGATCCTTGGCACCTTGCTTCGGATTGCGCTTAAGCTAGGTTCGAGAACTTGAGCCAAACATGGCCACAACGTGTAAATGCTACAAACCATGCATGTCGCAGTAGGACTATTCACAACAAAAGACACCAGGTTGTCAAGGAGCTTCTGGAGCTTCTGAATGTTGACGCCTGAGTAGTAAGCCCCGCTGTCAGTCAGCGATTACCCCTGCACAGGACCACTGACTTGGACACGTTTCCCCTCACCCTCGGGGTCAAACATGACGTTGGACTCGACTTTGGCACCTTTCAAACAAGTTGAAGCTTTTGCTACTGAGTGCTAGTTCCTAGTTGTACGCCCCCTTCTTTCCATAGATCCTTTTTGTCGATATGACGAAAAGAAAGGTAATCCCCAAGATTCGGACTGAAAACACGTGCGCCATGGTCAAAAAGCCATATATTGCATAACAGGAACCCTCGCAGTGTTGTCTGCACATACCTATTGAGGGGTTCATGACCCAAGTGGGAAGGTCTTTGTCCATGCAAAACATGGGAAACTCGAAAATCCGCTGAAGGCTGATCCAAGAGCAGGCTTCAAGTTGTGCCGGCGGCACTCCCGTGAGAAGCCGTTGACCCAACACCTGAGCTTCCAAAGCCCATGGTGCGCGGTGCGACTCTTCGGTGTGACTCTTTGAGCTTTTGGAGTCCCATGTTGACACATTTGGAGTCCCCCTTTGAAGTCCCCCTATTTGAAGTCCCCCCCTTTTGAGATTTTGAGTTTTTGGAGTCCTTTGGAGATTTCCAAGGCAAAACAGCGACTCCACCTGCGCTGTTCCCTCGATGCTGAAAGCAGTTGCTATGGTCTGGAAGCCTGCATAAACCGATCTTTGTGGGATGGCTTAAACGGCAAATCACAGAGAGGCAGGATTCAAATTCTCAGTCATTCGGAGCTGAGGCACTCCATGTGCCTCCCGAATTGACCGTAGACAACCGAGGATTGCTTTTTGTTGACGAACCCGAGTATGTGTGGTTAAAAAACTCCTTCTGTGGATCGTCTTAGGAACTCTTAGCATTGTGGTCTAAATGGGTCTGTCCTTTCTTGAAGGTACCCCTTTTTTAAAGGAAGCCCACCAGTTTGGGGGGGTCCCCCAAGCCACGCCCAAATACCCAAAAGGGTTGATGACCCTCCGCGTCAAGTCCTTTGGGCAGCCAGGGCGCGTCGCTGGCGCTGCGGCCACGGACACGGCCAGCAGGACGGCAGGAAAGCGACCGGCTGCGTGGGTCAGCGCTCCTGCGCGACCAAAACGCGCGAAACGGAGACCGAAGCAAATCGCCGGGTCAAATGTTGACCACGGATTCATAAAACCCTGTTTATGGTGTCCCTGGTTTTAGTGGGGATGTATCACTTTTGGAGGGAACACCCCTATGTTAATAAACAGGGGTTTATCAATCTGGGGTCAACATTGTGTTGCAACCACCAAAACAGCCTCCAAGCATCCATGGCAAGAGCTGGCAAGGCGGGGGTGCTTGAATGTTCGACCCCCCGACCTGTGTCAAGCGTTTCAAGCTAGAAGTTGGAAGGTGTCCCCCCACCTGCTGGAACCGCCAAAGTTTGGAAGGTGGTCAACCAAAGAGCTGAGGGCTGGAGAAATTGCTTCCCTGCATCAGATGGCGCATTCCCCCCTGCGACCTATGAGCATCTCTTGCACAATGCTGCAACTGCGCCTTGCCACTCTCGAAGCGATGAAACTTGAAAACGCCTCATGAGGACAACCCGCTCCTGCTCTGCTCCAGCAGTCCTGCGCATGACCAGGCTGAAGTTCAAATGGGCGTACGGCGTAAGTTGGCTCAACGGAAGCCAAGAGAGAAACGGAAGCCAATAGGGAAACCACCACTCGATATTACTCGGGTCCCCCTATTTTGAAACATACCCAAATGGCAAACCAGTGTCAAATAGGGCGGGTTTGAACCCAAGGAAAACTGGAAGCTTGTCTAGTTGCTTGGAAACCTCCCACAGCACAACCTGCAAATTCCATCGGAAACTCAAAAGTAAAGCACCTTCCTTGGCTTTGGCAACCGTTTTGCCTCCAGGTTCGCCATAAAATAGGCCTGCTCCATAGTCGCTTTCTGCTCATGTGCGCCTCCAAAACCCAGCGAGTGTTGCTTCCTTCCCCAGAAATTCTCTCGCGCCCGCTCCATCTTGGCTGCATCCGCCCGGCACCCATCAGCTCGGAAGATGCGCGATGGTCCCGTGGCTCCACACCACAGCGCGCTGAGAACTCGTTGACTTCAACTCTGGGTCTCTCACGCGGCGTCTTTCAAGGCCGGCAGTGGGGCTGGAGCTGGAGGGATGCCATTTGTCAAAAGCAACTCTGCTTGCAACTTTTGCATGGCCCAAGGTGCAACGGCTTTGAATCGCGGCTCACACCTTTGCTCCAAATGCATGTGTTTTTTCAACTCTTGGACAGGGCTTCAGTCAACCGGCCAGAAACCTTACTGCGCTGCCCAAAAGTTTCGCGGAGCCCCAGCCAAAACAGCAGCAAAGCCGAGCCAAGAACTTCTCATTCTGTATGGGTATGTCAATAGGTCGAAATAGGGGGCCCACAAGCAGTTGTCCTTTTTTAGCTTCCCTTTAAGCAATGCAAGGTGAAAAGGGCGCCTTCAAAAAAAAAAAACGAAGAAAAAAAAGAGAGAAAAAAAACACACACAACAACAACAACAACAAAAACACGCCCGCACGCACGCACGCACGCACGCACGCACGCGAACGCACGCGAACGCACGCACACACGCACGAACACACGCACGAATGCACGCACGCACGCACACACGCACGCATACCCGCGTATCAAACCGGGCATGCACCAAAAGAGGAAAGGGACCCAAGCTGCTCCGGCACAGTGGGAGGCACAACACGCCCGCGGAAAATCATGACCCCAAATGAATCAACCAGTGCAGGATTCCCACTAAAGCTCAACACCCCCCAAATTCTTCCACCATGAGGGTGATTAGTTCTCCGCCATGCGGGGCCTGGGCCCCCCTCAGCTGCGCGCACGGTAGGCTTTTGAACGCTCCGCAGCTGAAAATCCCGCCTGAAAGCTGTACCACGGGCCTGCTTCGCAGGTAGAGCTGGGAGGAACAAATGAGCCATGGTTTGATGCAAGCCTCCATGTTGAACAGCTTTCTTCAACATCATCCCACTGGAAAGGAAGGTCATATTCACCTGGCCCAAAATCCGATGGGGGCAAAAACCACATCTTAAGCGGGATGTAGAAACCAAACAGATGAGACTGCTGCCAAGATGGTCATTCCGGCCCAATGCCGGGCAAATCCACCGGGCGCCGGTTCTTCGAACCGATCCGATCCGCCGGCGATCACCCGGCCGCCGGTCGCCGCCGGTCGCCGCCGGTCACGCGGTCACGCGGCCGCCTCGCTGAGCCATCGCTCTGCCTGGGCCAGGGGCGGCCGCAGCAAAAACAACCCCAAAAAGGGTAGCAGCAAAACACACACACACACCATATGGACACACACACACACCTTATGGGACCTTTGGTGGAATTCAACAAATTGCCTGTAGATGTTGGTGCCCACTCACCGCGAGCCAGAAATTTTGCTCTCTCTCTCTCTCTCTCTGTGGGGTTCTGTACGTCATTAAAAAGGGGGCTCCCTGTTTTGACACCAACCCACATGGACCTGAACCCTCCTTTTGCCCAAAGGCTTCAAAGTTCCTCGCTTGCGAGCCTTTTGGGATGTCGGCTCCTGTGGTAAAGGTGAAGCTCAACACGGCAGTGTGTACCCATTGTTTTCTCCAGGGTTGCATTCCGGGGCTTGAAGCTCTCAGAAACAAGTCACATCAAAAGGTCTGGAATGCAACATCGACCCCTGAACCCCAGACACAAACCAAACAGCCCCTCTAGAAGATGTTGGATCTGACAAAAAGGGATCCCGTGATATGCATCATGGTCAAAAGACCGGACGGATGCAGTACGCATGGCGCAACGTCATCTGGCGGACTCTGACCGAAAAACCATTCATTGTGTGGATCTCCCCGTCTTTGGAAACACTCGGGCTACTGTGGGTCAGTATGGCTTTGTTTTTTGTGAAGGGTGTGGAAAGCCAACGTGGAATGTCCTTTTTGGGGAGTCTCCCCATTTTTGTCAGGCACTTCTGGACGGTCACAAGAAGAAAGCATTAGGACAATAATCCATCTTGATGGTCCTAAACTCTAAAACAAAACCCACAACGTAGATGGACAATATATCCTGCACCAGTTGGGATGAAGCCTTCTGAATCTACCAACTAGTGCAGCATGTTATCCATCCACACCAAAAGGAGACTCCTCTAAACCGGGCCGCCCTCAGATCCCCCACTAACAGTTTTACTCTTAGTGGGTTCAATGAAAAGAGACTACCACTAAACACTCAAAAGAGTCTAAAAAGCTAAGGAACCGGATGGCTGAAAAGCCACCAAGTAAACATGAGGTTCCATGCGAAGCTGGTGAGTACTGATCTTTTCCCCCGAGACCAGCACCCACGGACTCCAAACCTCTGCGACGGAGGTGTTCTCCTGCAAACCGATTCGGAATCAAAGAAAGCGAAGAACCAACCAACCACAATTTGTGTGCGTGCGCGCGCATTGTCAACATATTCAATTGTATCATGCATGATATTTGTGCATATATATATATATATATATGGTACAGTGTTGCCAGCCCCCCCCCCCCCCACCAATGGTCATGGGTCAGACAAGTACCCCCCCCCTGTGGTTGGGTTGTGGTGGTTTAGGGTTGGTTTAGAACTGGTTTAGGGTATATTTAGGGTGTATTTAGGGTTAGTTTAGGGGGGGTTTAGGGTTGGTTTAGGGTTGGTTTATGTTGATTTAGGGTTGGTTTAGGTTTAGAGGTGTACGGTTTAGGGTTTGGTTTAGGGTTTGGTTTAGGGTGTATTTAGAGTTGGTTTAGGGTTGGTTTAGGGTTAGTTAGGGTTGGTTTAGGTTTAGGGTTTATTGTTTAGGGATTGGTTTAGGGTGTATTTGGGGTTAGTTTGGGGTTGGTTTAGGGTTAGTTTAGGGATGGTTTATGTTGATTTAGGGTTGGTTTAGGTTTAGAGGTGTACGGTTTAGGGTTTGGCGTGGGGTGTATTTAGGGTTGGTTTAGGGTTAGTTTAGGGTTGGTTTATGGTTGGTTGCGGGTTGGCTTGTCCTGGGGGTGGGGGTGCTGGGGTGTCGGGGTGCGAGTTCAGGGGGTCGGGGTGGGGGTGGGACCGTAGGTGCCAGGATCCGGGGGCTCGGGGTCTCGGGCGGGGGGCGGGGGTGTCCTGGGGGACCCATACCATATGGGGGGGGGCTTAGCAACACGGAACACGGGACCATATATATGTTAAACATTAAATATATTTGTTATATACATATACATATCATATTAAATACTACATATCTAGCATATATCTACACATATATGTGCGCAGGGTTCTCAAGCTCTTTTGGTATGCTCGCTTTCCTGGAAGACGAGGCAGAGGCCCCGAAGCAGCATGGCCTCAGCCGTCGACAAATGCCCCGTGGGCCATAGCCCAGCGCCCAAACCAGAGGTCAGTGGCTCGATTTCCCCAAAAAAGCGGAAATAAATCCACTGACCGGTGGTTTTGCTTTATTGAATCTCCCCAAAAAAGTGGACATCAACTGACGTGTGGTGTTTTTTTTTCAATTGAAGCGATCGCCACTGCTGGAGGTGCCCAAAATGGGAAATGGAGGAAAGCCTGCTGGACCTTTGGTGTGTTTCGTGGGAAAGCCAGTTGGCTCCATCTTAACCTAGGGGACCCCAAAAAATCGGCGGCTTTGGCCTCCCCAGAAAAATTGTCGCCCCGAAAACGGCGCCCTCCAAAAAGGTCTAAGGGGCGGGTCGGTCAGAAGCCAATGACCAGGAAGTGTAAGGGGGGCTGGAAAGTGCCACAGGGGTGTCAAAACTTGGGACCCGCCCAAATATTGCAAAGAGAGGGGACACCTTCCCCGTCAAGGTGGCCTCTGGCTGAAGAAATGTCCATTATGTGGGGGAATCAACTGTAGGACTGCGAGAACATCCACACAGCTTCGTCCTTTTCTTCCTTGGGCAAAGGCCCCATCTGACCCCTCTGCCACCTGACCAGAGCTGCATCCTGGTTTGACACCTTTGGAGGTATGGCCATGAGGGGAATTCCCAGATTCCAACATGTCCAGCCCGAGATACAGCGGTGTTATGCGGCTGGAATGACTTTAAAAAGCGTCTGCAAAGCTTAAGGGCTTTGCCCCTGCCACAGTTTCGAGGTAGCCAATGCTGCTCAGAGCATGCTCATGGCTACCAAAGGTGCTCGTTTTCGTTTGCAGGCTGTGCAAAATATAGGCAGGTCTCAGAATTGAAAGTTCCCAAACAGTATCGGTTCCGTTTTGGCATCCCCTATACACCAACCAAAAAGGCGGTCACGTTCAACCAAAGTGTTGCATTCCCTTGATTTCCAATCCAAAGGCTGCGGCTAGTTTGTCTGTTCCTCCATGGGAGCCGCTGGCATTTCTGTGGCTGATCTTTGTAGTGTTTGACCATGTGGGTATGGGTCAAAATTAAACCACCAGGAACTGGACCGCAGGTTTTAGTCCTTTCCATTTACCAGGGCAACCCATTTTGGGGTTACCCTATTTTTGACCACCACAGCCATGTGGGTCTTTCCAGGGCAAAACCCCTGGAACTGGGACGGCGTTGAACCCCGTGTCCCCGTTGAAACCCTCCGACGTGCTTTTCCCGGCGCTTTTCCGCTCCCTGGGGCGCTGGCGGTTCGGTAGGCCATGACCATGTGCAGCGGGATCTGGAAAACCCAACCGAAAGGCTGGGGCCAGGTGCCCAAAATGGTTGGTCGCCAGTTTCCACATCCCAGTCAAGTTGAATCGAGGTACATCCAAACGGCTCCAATTGTCCAGGCAAAACCCCTGTCCAACGCCTCCACGATATGGTCACGCATGAGGACGTCCTGACGGCTCGGAACAGGCAGGAGTCTGTGCAAATTCCTGGTCGAAACTCCCCATCTAGATCGCATGACTTTGCACATGTCTTCAGATAATTTAGGGCCAATTGGCGTTTGGAAACCCCTATGCGCAAAATCCCAACGAAAAGCATGTCAGGATCGAAGCATGTCAGGATCGAAGCATGTCAGGATCGAAGCATGTCAGGATCGAAGGAAGCCATGCTGCATGAGCATGCAAGGAATATAGTAAATCATAAGTAACTGCCCCTTCTCCCGACTGGACGCGCGCAATGGTACTGTTTCTTCAGGGCAACCGCCCTGGGGTGGCCACCAAAGGGAAACCGCCATTTGTGGGGTTCTCATTTTGAAACACACACACCAACACACTTCCTGACCCCTCTGCGCCAAGTCCGACGAGCCCAGCTTTGAAGAGATGGCCCTTTTCGACGTTCAACGATTGGCACCAGGCCAAACCGAACCAAAACAAAATCGATTCTGGCCCTTCATGATTTGTTCCCCTCAGACGGAAGCAAAAGCCAACAAAACCGATGAAGAGACCCGCTTCGGGGACGCCCAACGTCACAAACCGGGCCGACTTCAAGAGCTGTGGTTGCGGCCAACTTTTATGCCGCTCCTCCGCCTGGTTCAGTCCTTTCATGGTGAAGCAGGCCGTAGCCAAAAGGAGCATTCCATTTTATCATGCGAGACTTCGTTTAAACCCCAGGTGACCTCGTCATCCATGGTTGGGCTCGATTATCCTTGTTTCGACACAAAACCCAGAAATCATCCCCTTGTCACTTCTTTTGGGAGCATTGGAGCTGTGCTACGGCCTTTCTGAGCTGATAACTTCTCATGGGTGCGCTGGTTTGCGCCCCAGGTGATCAATTTATTCATGTTTGGGGCTCCAAATCCTTCTTTCGACACAACCCCCTTAACTTCTCCTCCGTTTGCTTAAGTCCCCTGGAAAAAAAATCCAGTCGTGATAGATTCCCTTTAAAACCAACAGGGAAAAAAAAGAAGAAGATATTTCTAACCAAATGGAAGCTCTCTATGCCAATCAGCCCGGCGCCGATTTCTCCCTGCCCGGGTCCTTGAGCTTGTCGCCGCCCAGCCACTCCGCCTGGAAGCGGCAGAACATCAGCCGGGGCCTGCGAGCGCGGACGCCGCGAAGCGCGAACGCCGCGAAGCGCGAAAGCTCCGAATGGGGAACGACGGTGATGTATGGGACATGCCAAAATCAAAATATATTTAGTTATGTGCTTATTTATTTATTTATTTATTTATTTATTTGTTTATTGGTTATTTATTTCTCTATTGATTTAGTTATTTAGTTACGTATCTATGTATTTCTTTACGCATGTATGTATGTATTTGTTTATTTATTCAGTGACTTATTATTAATTCATTGGTTTATGCAGTTTTTACGTTGTTAATTATACATTTATGTACTTGTCTATTTAACTATCTATTTACTTATCTATGCATGTATGTTACTTATTTATTTATTTATTCATTTATCTATTTATTTATTTACTTTTTTACTTATTTACTTATTTACTCATTGATGTATTTATGCATTTATGTATCTATTTATTTATTTGTGTATTTATTAATTTATTTGTGTATTAATTCGTTTATTTGTGTGTTTACTTATTTGTCTATTGTTTGGTTTATTTGTTTTCATTTACATATTAATATCCATTTAATATTATTTGTTTTATATTGTTTGACAAAGTCCAGAGACTCACCAGTTGAGATGTCGCCAAATGGGGACGTGGGGGCTGGCCAAAATGGATTGAGTGCCACTTGCGGCCCCTTTTTTAGGCAACCAACAGTGTTCCCCCAGAACGGACCCAGGTTTTGTGGGAGACACCAGATGAATGCGGGGAGGGGGGGATGCCATCCATGCCTGGGCGTCCTTTTAAATGGATAGCATTGGTAGAGCCAAACTGAAGCAATCATAGAAGTGGACAGGCCCTTTCATGGCCTTTCCAAGAGGAATGGTGGCCCACCAAAACCCTTCGGTCAGCTGACACATGTTAAACCCTGAAACCAGAACCTTGATCCAATCGAAATCCCGAGGCGGCGGCAGAAGTGCTAGGAACTCCTTGTCGCCATTCTTGCTCCTGACCTCAGCCCGAAAACGCCAACCCAGGGCCAGCCGAACGAATCGGATGGTGCAAGACCGCTGTTGAACATTCCAAAAGCGTGCGTCAGAAAGGCAACTTGGACAAGGAGCAACACAACTGATTGTGACCACCCCCGCGCTCTTCATCCGTGGATGATAATTGCAAACAGGGGATTAGAAGTTCGAGTCGGGGGACAGACAAAAATAAGCCGGTTGGCCGCATCTCTTCATAGGACACTGACCCCGTCTAACTTTCATTTAATGCTGTGCATCTACAGCAGATCCTGCCAAAAATGGTGGCTTCCCCTTCGGCTTCCCTGCAACACAACCCCCTAGAAGTGCGCCCCCCAATCCGGAAATAACAAAACAACACCTCCCCCCCTCCCCGCTTGCTGGTGCTCAGCAGGGAATGAGAAATGGAATGACCCCGAGAAAAACCAGCATAGCTTGTGGTGTTCTTTATTCGGGAATCCCCCAGGTTCATGACATTTCTCATTCCCCTACCTATCACGCCAGCTGCATTTGCCGCTACTCCGGGGGCAAGAAAAAATAACGGGGAAAACAAAAGGAACAAAAACTTCCCCTCCCCCCCCTCCCACCCCGCCACAAACACCGGCAACTTCGCCCATCCCTTCAGGGACTTCCGACCAAAAAAGCCGCGGGGCCGCGTTTTCCGCCAAACGGGGCCCCAGGCGCCGGTGGCCTGGAAAGCCTCCGCGAGCTGCTGGTCGGCCTGGTTTCGGCCAGTCACCCCAAACCTCCCACCCAGAGGCTCTGGGGGGGGCGTTCCTAGTGCCCCAAAAAGGGAAGCCTCAAAAAAAAGGCACACACACACAGAGACACAGACACAGACACAGACACGCAGAGACACACAAACAGACACACACACACACTGACCAGACACACAGATTTGGCAATGGACTGTCATAGGAAACCTGTTGAAAAGGGAACCAAAGGAAAGGAGCTCAGTGTGGAACCCAAATAGGGATGAAATTTGACAAATCCCGGACCCTTGTTTAGGTGGGGTTCTGAGGTGCGTCCTTTGGGTTCCAATAAATCGGGTCTTGGTTTTTGGGGCGTACCCATGGGGTTTTACAAGGACATTTGGAGCGTTTTTTGAGAAGCATATAAGACAATAAGAAAATGTTCAGAGTTGGATGTCCATACGGGCCTACACGCCATGCACAGAAATTCAGAGTCAAGGAAACCGAAGGAAAAATCAGAGGAATGTTTCCTGGCACCAAAAAAGGGCTCCTTTTCCTGCGATGCAAATGGCACACATGCCCATGTTCTTCATCTCAAGGTTCTTCGATGGATGGATCCTTTGCCCGCCCGCTCGCCAGAACACCTTCCCATGCGGATCTTTGGGGCCTTCCGCGGGGCAATCCACCGCAACAAACTGAACACCTTGTGAGAAACCTTGGAGAATCTCCAAATACGCCGGACAAATTGGTGCTATAAGGCGGTCTTGAAAGATGTTGGGGATTCCCCCGAGGCTTCGCTTGAGGGCAGCCACAGCCTTCAAAAAGAAGAGCGGGCTGCCTTCACCAGCCTTGACAGACCCAGGTTTGATTGTCGCCCATGCGCGCCGGTGAATATTGGCTCATATAGGCGCGCGCTTAGAGTAATTCATCTCAAGAGTTGGCGCTCGGCTGACTTTAAGGGTTTGGCAGATCCCTGAAACTTCCCCTGGCTGACCCCCATTGTCTCATTCTCAAAAGTCAACAACTCCCCTTTCGCTTCGTAGCTTCTGCAACGCCAAACGATGTGGAAAAGGACATGGACAAAGGCAACTCACGTGCATAACAGGAACAAACAAGGCCAAAACCAGCAACCCGTTCTGTGCCTCTTAGGCTACTCCGGCCTCTGGGGAGGAGGGCCTGGACACCGCCTGCAGCAGCCTCGCCAGGCCCGCCTAGCGACGTGTGTGTGTGTGTGTGTGCTACTGTGGATGGACGAAATCCCGCGCTACTTGGAAACCATGGGCAACCATTGTTTGCCGGCATTTACAAGGAACTCATCCTTCCAGGGTTTCGCAGGTGCGAAATGGATTTCGTCCATCCACAGGGCCGCTGAACTGGCACTTTAGTTGGAGGCCACCAGCGGAGTGCAACAGTTCCCGGCAACAGATGTAGACGCGCGTCGGGCACAGCGCAGTTCTTGGAAACCAGCTCACCCATTTAGGTGCCGACCCACTCACTCAGAAAACGCGGGCACTTCAAGGCAAACCAAAACACAGCACTTCAAAGAAGCCACCAAAAGAATCCGGCTGATACTGGCCGAGGCGGGCAGCGCGAAGCGTTTACAATAACACAAACGCAAACACGGTATCCTCAGACACGCCCAAATGATGTTGTTTAGTGTCCGATGAGGAAACATAAGCCGCTTTGCAGCGGTTTACTGGTTGTACTCAAAGCGTCTTTTCCAGCGGTTTAATTACTGGTTGGGCTCCAAGGCTAGCTTAGTCAAACAACTTTGCAACCAAGAAGATTACACTTCAGCGCTCGTAGGAAGCAGTCCCACCGCACCCCAAAACGGTTCGGGATCACACTCCAGAAAAACAGGCCTCATCAACCCACCAATTGGGCGCCGTCGTTGCAAGGTGCTTATCCCAAAATGGCAAGAATCGGAAAAGGAACGTCGAGAAGAATATGTGGCTTCATGGTGAGGACAGCAATGGCTGCAGAATGATGTTTTCACAGGGCGAAAAGCAAGGAAGAGACGGAAAGAAAACGAAAGAGACAAGAAGACGAACAAAGAGACAGGTTAGAGACCGGAAGAGACAAGAAGAGAGAAAAAGAGAGCGCGAGAGTGAGACATTGCTTCGCCGGGCTCCATACTCAACACAAGCTCGCCGGAGCAGCTGGAAGTCCGGCGCCCGACCACAGTTTCAAACAGTGCGCTCTTCTCAAGATGAGCATTTGGATTCCCGAACATTCGGCCGTTCACGCAAACCTCGGCCATCCCCCGTGCAGTTCGCCTTCTGGTCGGTGGTGAGACGACGACACTGCCCGAAGTCGATGAGGCCAATGCGACCATCCGGCCTCGGCGTCAAATGCAGGCCCGCGGCTTAGTTTCGAGCGATAAGCCGCACTCAGACTGAGTATTAACGAGGGGAGACTTTGTACTGGGATTCCCTGATCAATATTTGTCTGGGGCTCTTGGAAGAGCTTGCAAAGGAACCTTTGCGAGTCTGAAAAAGCTCCTTACGTGCCTGCTTTGGCCTTCGGCGGCGTGTCACCCTCCCATTAACCTTCAGCAACTGGAACATGTCCTTTTGCCGAACCTCCAGAGGCACCAGCTGTGCTCACGCAAAGGGAGCTTTGCACATTCGACGCTCTTTCAATTGATTGCCGAAGATCTGACGGCCTGCATTGCTTGCATCATCAAACTCGCCAGACATCACCCTTCCCCTAAACCCTAGCATCCCCATTGAATTCAATTGCGACAAATGAGGGAGCGTCCATCGGCATGAGTTTTGCACCCATCGTTGCGACTTGCCCTCAGAGCCCAACATCATCAGGATATTGCCTGGATGAGGATCAGCCTTGGGCGGACAATTGTCTTATACGACCACGAGATGCGGCAAGACGATGCCCGTATGAACCATTTGCTTACCAGGGGGAGCATGCATGTATGTATCTAACACATCTGGGCGAATGATACTCATTCACTACTCAAAAATGAGGTCTACCAAAACCATCGTCAGCCTCTCTGGGCCGATCGCCTTCGTTTGCCCACGTGAGCGCACAAGATTACTTGTTTCTCAAAGAGGGCAGGGGAAGAAAAGAAATCCCCCCAATCAAAAGCAGCCAATCAGCTTGTCAGTTGCTCACGGACCTCTTTCCGCATCTGGCTCAAGGGCCCGGGCATTGAAGATGGGGCAGAAGAAGAGCTGGTAGCCTTCGCCAGCGCATCGAAAGGAAGCCTATGGCGGCCTATGACTTAAGAAACATCATGGGAATGACACGACCCAATGGGGCCACTAGGCCAAGCCACAAATTCTTGGCTGGATTCCCTTCTTACCCGCGAAGTTCTCAGGATCGCCACTCGAATGGGCCAGCCCGAGGGCAAGCCTTGCATTGAAGTTCCTCAATTTGGGTTGTGGCCATGGCCCGCTAAACATGGCGGAAGGGGTCCTTCGTTCCCTTGAAATCTAGGTAGGGAATCAATAGCTGGCCGCCAGTGATCATGGCTTGTGACCCCATGTGAAGCCCGAATGCAGCGTTTGTGCTTGTCACTCATGGTCAATCATACCTTCTTTGGGACCCACCATGAGTTTGGTGTCTCTTGGGATGGGAGTGGTGGGGGCCAAGGACCTATCCAAGCCCCTCAAGAATCGACCAAGGCCCTCCGGCCGTGCACGTCCAGGACCTCAGGCTTCGCTGAATCGCCAGATTCTTTGCATCGGAGGAAGTGAAATCGGACAATGCCAGTCGAATCCTGTTCCAGGCACTGAGAAGGGAAACCCAGATATTCCTCCCTTAACATCACTCGCTGGTGGGGATGTGGGGATGGTTCAAGGCACCCCAAAATGAGTGGCTTGATGTGGCTTCCCTTTCTAAACAACCCAACAAAGGGTACGTCAAAAAGCACACGCCCGTGCATGTGGGCTGAAGACATCTTGGTTGCTAGCTGTGTTAGCTGGTCTTGAAGTTTTGAAGGCTAGCGATGGATTTGGCTCAGCTTAAAAAGGCTGAGGCTTGAGTTTGGTGGATTGGCAGTTACAGCTGAGTCTGGTCTTCGCAGCTGCCAAACAAAAAACGAGGTTTGGCCAGCTGGTGGTCGTAGGTGAAGCTTGGTGGCAAAGAGGCTTGCCCGGTGCTTCGGCTTTGGCAGTGGCAGTTCCCAGGATGAGTGGCGGGGTTGAGACTAACAGTCGCGTGGCTTCTTGACTGCCTGAGCGGCTAGGTGACTAGCCGCACTCTTCAATCCACAAGAGAACAATTTGTGAACCAAGCAACCCTTGGGCTAGGATATCCTAGAATGCTGGGCTCGAATTTCCGCGTGACCATGGGTCGACCCAACCCCGAACAGAAGGTTTTGCTGAAGGCGGAGAAACGAGGCTCTGGACGTCCCATTGGCAAGGAGGCGTTGCTGGAAGCCCGTTTGAGCCAGTTGAGTAGGCGGAACCCCGGATTAATGTGGAATCTCCCGGTTGCGGATCACGGTTGGGGGAGTTGCACCCCCTTGTTGATACGTTGAAGCCAAACACCAGCTTGCACATGAAACCTCATTGCCAAATTGGTCTTCTGGCATCCCTGCAATAAGAACAGGGAGGGGGTCCCATTTTAGCGGATGCTTCGCTCTATTCATCCGCCGGATTTGTTTCATCCAGCAGTGTATCTGTTTCCAAATGGTGGCTTTCCTTTTGGTGTCCCCGTTAAAACAGACTAAACAGGGATTCCCTCAAAAAAATGCGGCCCAAGCTCCCGAACGCTTCGCCGGGCCCTCGGTGCTCCCCGATAAAACAACCGCCGCGCCCGGGTGCCCAACCAGCCGCAAAGTCGAGCGCAGATCCTCGGCGCCCGACCTGATCCGAACTGACGAACGAACTAACTACCAAAGTAGAACTAACTACCAAACTGCTAACTACCTAACTACCTAACTACCTAACTACCTAACTACCTAACTACCTAACTACCTAACTACCTAACTACCTAACTACCTAACTAACCAAGCAACCAACCAACCAACCAACCGACCGACCGACCAACCGACCGACCAACCAACCAACCAACCAACCAACTAACTATTGACATGGACATGTTGCCTCGGGGATGTTAATTTTCCGTCTGGAAGGAGGTCCTCACCAGCGTGCATGCTTGTTCTTGTCATAAGGGTGATTGGTTGTAGCGCCTCCCTTGCTAGAACATGCGGGGAAAAAAGGACAAAAAAGGGAAAACAACGGAAACATTAGTCCTTGAGAGAACCAACTTGACCGGAGAAACTGGACCGCCCTTGTTGACCAACCCAAGTCAATTGTTCCAAGGATTTTTGGAGCGTGTGGGTCACTTGCTCCCCGTGAGAATGGGCCCGTTTTCTGGCAGTCAGCTTGAGGCCTAGAATGTAAGCATGCAGCATTGCCGGCTCCCAGTGGGGAATCACAGTGGTTTTGGGAATGAACCCAGGGATCCCTTTAATTTCAAGAAAACAAGGGATGGATCATGGGGGGCATTCTCTCATTCCCTACTAAACACCACCCAAACAAATCCCACCGAATCGCCTTGTGAGGTCCGAGCTTCCACAGCGTGCAAGGTTCCAGCTTAGAAGCCAAAGCATATCCGGCGTGGTGTATCCCTTGGTAACCTGGCAAACAACGCCTTGCCCTTCCTCCCACATAGCACCTCCGCCAGGGTACCTGTCAGGTGGTATGTTAGGAGGGTATGTGGGCCATCGCCCGAGGGCCCTCTCAGTAGACATCCGTACTGCCCGCTAACTCCGAACTACCATGATCATCACTAGCAAGCCCAAGTAACCATGTAACTCCCAATGCGGACCGACATCTCTAGTAAGATCTTTTGGTCCTGCATGTGACATGTTCTGAGAGCCCCAGCCGAGCATCCACGACCTTCCTTACCAGCCTTAGGCGTGTCGCTCCGTCGCCACATCGCTCGGACATGGGAAGATGGTTTCCTAGAAAGGAAGTAGGGTAAAATGCACTCATTTCCGGAGGAATCTCCCTGTTTTGAACTTCATGATCATTTCCAGAGGGTACGATGAAGCTTAATCATCACGGTTACCTTTGTTCCCTTCCTGGCTTCCCCAATGGGTGAATTGTGCCATCTACTTTTACCCAACTGTGCTGTCTCCAAGAAGCGTGGTCCATAGAACTGTGGCCTGGATCTTCTTCACGGGAACATCCAAAGCCGTGCCGTACCCTACCAAAAAGGGAAGGGGAAGGGGGGTGGGGGCCAATTCCATTTTCCTAGTCTTTCCCAAAGAGAAGCTAAAAACAATTAATGAGGATCTGCAGGGGTCGAAATGTCCCCTCCCCCAAAACCATGGTGCTCCCCCGAGCGTCCAAGTCTGACCCGACCGCCAACCCAAGGAGTGAGGGCAGGGCCACAGGAGCGCGTCCACGCCCACAACCCTCAGAGCCTCAAACAGAGGCAGACGTTTCAGGCGCAAGTCACCTGCACGAAAAGGGCCTAGATCCTTACTACCTTACTGCACTGGGCTCCGATGCTTCACCGCTGCTTTTGGAGCTCCAGAACAGGTTGGAAATTCAGCCCCCCCCCTCCTCTACTTCGTTCAGCCACACTTGGATGGCACCCACTCAGCAAAGGACTCGCGAGGCTTGCAGCAGTTGCATTGACATCATATGCATATACACTATAGGACACATGCGAGTGCACATAGGGAGGTTGTTTGCATGTGCACGTACCTTGATACGTGTAAATGCGTATGGGCGCATATGTGATAGGACACATAATATGCACTACACATTTGTAAGCCTGCCTGCACGCGCAAACATGATCCACTCGAGCAACTTTCATTTACTGGATATAAGGTGCAAACCCATACCCGTTCTTTGCACGACTGCCTCATGGGGATCTGCCGCTTGCAGGAAACCCCTGAAGATGAGCCACGGTTAATATTTATTGAATCCCCCAGTGACGCCAGAACTGAGTAAGCAACCTGCATGGTATGATGGGTGAATGATGCTGAATCTTGACAGCTGCTCGATTTCTGGTCAGTGTGGTGGCGATCGTGATGGTGATGGTAAATAGTTGATGTGGGTTTGTCTCAAACTGATGGAAGCCCTAAATATGTGATGTCCTTTTGGTTTTCCTCAAAAGCAACCCCAAAAGGAGCTCACAAATCCAGACACGCCCATCTGATGAAAAAGGACTCAGGTGCGGACGCCCCTGCCCAGCCGGCTCCACCACGAGCTCGGCGCCTTGGCATTGAGGGGAGTCGCACGGAATCTTCAAAAAGAATCGAAAAAGATGATGGAGGACGGAAGGACGTACATTCAAGGGCCAACGTGGCCTACCCTGAAGGAGAACCCTGAGTGATTTACCATGAAACCATACCAATGTTTTGGCCATGACATGTAGGTTAATTAATTCATTTGGGGCCATGAGGGGTACACCCAGATCTGGGTGCAGTTGTTATCTGAAGGTTCCCAGAACGCCTGGCCAACGAAGCGCTCGTGCCATCAGAATTGACCAGTGCGCCAGGCAGTTTGACCGCCCTGGATTTCAGCCAGCCTCTTTTTGGCCAGGGGTATGGATGTCCGTGTTCTTGGGGACGTGCTCTCATGCGGACGTTTCAGGACAGGAAACCGCAAAGCGAGACCCTCAAAAAAGACACTTCCACTCCGCGCCAGGCTGACTCGGACAGCTTTTGGTCCAATGATTTTTGCCACTCTGAAGGTTTTGGGGCTTGGTATGCAGAACAAGCACGTCCCCGTGCCACACCCCGTGTAAGATCCTTGATTCAGTGCCCCCTTGGACATCCGTTGGGTGCGGATTTTCTGTGGATGAAATCGATTTCGCAACTAAGAAACCCTGGAATCATGACTCGCCTGTCTGCAAGAAATACCCACAAACAATGGTTTCAACCATGGTTTCATTTCGTGGTGTGAAATGGATTTCGGCCATCAACCAAAGGCTTCCCGATCGATCGGCGGGGGGGGCACCTGCGGCTCTGCTCCCGGCTCAGCTGCACCTCGCACGCAGGGTGGCGAAAAGCGCGGCCGCAAAGGAAGGAGTCTGGCCAACAAATGGGTGCGGAAACGGTTGATTTTGGAGAAAACCAAAAACAAGCACATTCTTCTCAGTGCGTTGGGACTCTTGATTTCATGGTTTGTGGTGCTCCCCAAAATGAGCAAACGCTCGAAAGGGGCACTTCATGCAACCCTGCGCAACGCCCCAAATCTTTCTCCGCGCGAACTGTCTCCAGCCGCGTCCATCTCAGACCACCAGCCTGCGTGTGGAGCGGCCATCGATGGAAAGCCGAGGGCATAGCATAGCAAAGCAAAAGGCAAAGTCCGGGTTGAGCCTCACCATCTTTGTTTCACCCTTACGAGTGAAAAACAAAAAACTAAGGGATCCTTTGGTGCCGGTCTCTAAGGCGCAAAATGGTAAAGCCTGGAAGATCTGGCAGGAAGACGCTCAGCAATGGTTGGCACCAGGTTGTTCAAGTATGTTGTTTTGGCTATGAACAGTCACATTTTCCCATTTCGGCAATGGATTTTATTTTGCTTGAACCCCTTCAACTACAATCCGTTGGTGGACATGAATCCCCATGTAATGATCCAAAGTCCCCAACAAGAAATACCTGGGCAAAGCAGTCATAAAACTACCTGGGCAAAGCAGTCATAAAACTACCGTTCTTGGCGGGCCCTGCCACACACCCAAGTGCCAACATATGTCCGGGCGGAGTTCAAAACAAGGTCACAAAATGGTAACTGAAATGGAACCCTAGTAAATCAAAACAAAGACTAAAACCTGCGCAGGCCCAAACCCACATAAGTGCAAGATAGTGTTTTGGCCGCAAACACGCATGAGCTACCCAGTACCTTGCACTTCAAAGATAGAATATTGTCAGCATGCAGCTTGACAATGTTGCCGTTTTCAGACCCAAGTCTCTAAACTACTGGTATATGGGTGTGTTCCAAACTAGTCGGACCTCAAAATGGCTGGCTTCTTCTTGACTTCCCTTCGCATCATCATCCAAAAGCGGGCCCCGCATTGCACAACACACGCTCATGAAACGGAACATAAAGAATCGCAGGGGACCTCCATGGGTGACCTCGTTTTACCCCGGGAGGTTCCAATTTCTGGCACAAATAAGCCAACGCCTGTGCTTTCCACCGAAGCCGAAGCCGGCTCTTGCCCCGGTTCCCGGCGCAATCCTTCCGTTCCGCGGAAGGCAATTTTGCTCCAGTAGCTTGGGCCAAGCCCTTACGCTTAATCGCCAAGTGGTTCAGCAACCAAGGTTTGATTGGTGAAACAAATGCTTGGTTGGTTGGTTAAACAGGTTCTGGGAAGTTCAAGAAAACCTTTTGGTTTGGTTGGTACTAATTTGCCCAATCCAGTGCTGCAGAGGGCAGCACATAAATGTCCAATAAGGGTTTCTGGGAGGCCCGCATGATTTTCAGGCGAGACACTATGGTGGACATCATTTACATACGGATTTAAGTCCAGCAACCATTCTGGGTTGTTCAAAAGGGGATTCCCCCTTTTGCATCGCAGAAAACGTGTGTGGTTCCTTTTTGAGGGACCCCCTTTTTGGTTGGTTTCCAAGGGAATCCAAAAAGGAAAACCATAATTTTTGTAGGTCCCCAAGTCCCTTCGGTTCTTCTTCGAACCCGCCACTCCCAATAGCTGGCCTGTAGGTCACATACCGCCCCGCGGTCTCCGAGGGCCTTAGGGCAAACGGGGAAGAAGCGAAAGCATCGCCTTCGGCCTAGGGGGGGTCTTGTTGGGGAAACATGTCTCATTCTCCCCGCAACACCAACAAACCACCAATTCCAGGGAAGCTGAAAAAATATTCACCAGTGCCAGAACATATCATTCTACTCCGTCATTGGGTTAAGTGGAACGAGATTCTGGTCTAGCTTTTGTTCACTCTATGAGCATACGTTACAAATAGACTCACGTAGAAACAAACACTCCAGGATTCATGTGGATCCTCTCCCAACTCACGAGGGAATCACCTTCCCACATGGCAAAGCTTCTGTGTTTCTGTTCCCTGAGCAAAAGGGTTGGACCCCCTGGAACTGCGGTCCGCCTCCCGTGACAAGAAATTGGAGGAAGAAACGTGAGAAGAAATCGGACATGTTCCCCGGTGACACTCCTCTTCTCAATGGCCTGCCCAAGCAAGAAACTCGTCAGAGGCCCGGGTGCTCAAGCATTGAAAATAACACTTTGAATTTGTTGCCCATCCTCATCAGGAAACGAACATTCAAGGTCCGATTTGAAGGACATAGCTGACATAGCATTTGTGACACGTCAACTCTTCTGGTCGCCTGTGGAAGCGACAGCATGCTTTAGATGGAAACAGGGGATTGATGCCAAGCCCCACTTCCGGATCCTGTTTTGGAAGCCCTTGAGGCTGGGTCATTCAAAGTCAATGGCATCAAGGCCGTGCGGGTGCATACTGTGACAGATTCTGAATGCCAGATCTGAGAACGGTTGCAGGAATGGCCAGAAAGCCAACCACCATTTAACCTAAGGAAATTGTAAAAAAAGCCGTCTCCCGCTGCAAACGAAGGACACATGCAGCATATAGTTCACTTCCTGACTGGACAGGACAAACGAAGCATAGGGGAGCTATAGATTGCCTTCAGCTATCTGGGTCCATGTTGCTGCCCCCAAAGAGCAAAACAAACAGAAGCCCAGTGAAACCAAAAAAAGAAAAAGAAGACACAACCTTCACCCAGATTCCAAGCTTGGTGGAAACCGGTTTACAAGATGGAAGTTTCGAACATGGCTGGTTTCCTTTTGGTTGTGCTTTAAATACAAACCCCCTCCCTCCCTCTAACACGCGCGGATCTGTGGGCAGCCGGCCTAATGATCTTCATGACCTGGCCGGGTATGGGGGATCCTCATGTCATTCCGGATTGTCTGCTTTTGGGGAGCGCTGTCTCTGCTTGGCTTTGAGAGGCACCAAGAGAGAACAAACCATACTGAGGGGCCCCTCCCCCTCATATTGAAAAAAACCCTTGCTGGCAGGCCACTGCTGCTTTCTTTCTCACGCCAGTGGCATCTTGAGTTGTTGATGCTCGTTTCTCATGTGGCAGTTTGGCTCTCTGTTGGGTGGCCCACTCACATTTCCAATGGATCCTCAATATTGCAACTAAACCACTGCCGGCAAAGAACCCCGATGTTTTGTTTCGGGGGGGAATGAGTCTCCAGCTTACTCCCCAGTTTTTGGGCTTCTTATCAGCGAATCCCCAAGCAACGGCATTCAAGGCGCAGCTTCCCTGGTCAACATTCAGCTGGCTTTTGGTCGGTCGCATACCCATGCGAGGTCGGAGGTTGCAAAACCGTTTGCTTGGTCGATGTGCCAGGAAAGCCGCTGACGCCGTTCCCAACAGTTGGCCCGGAGGCTTTTCCCAATCGCCAGGCTCCCAGAACCAGTTGGTGATCCCTCAGCCCACCCTCGCCCTTTCTCCTGCCTGATCCCGCTGCATGCCGAAATACCTCAGCCACTGACGAACCTTTCTAACGCTCAATCACTTGCGCCGTGGTCAAAAGCTCGTTGTCCGTTTCGCTTATTTCGCTTCCCCCTTTGGTTGGGTTTACCCTTCGCTTCCTCCTTTGGCAGGGAAATCAAAAAGAAACAAACCGTCACGTTTGGGTTCCCTCCCCACAAAGGCTTGCTCACCACAATGATTCGCTTCTTGACAATGGATTGGCTGCTATACCTCGGTTTGCCTCACCATCTAGCCAAAAAAGCTGGCATCCATGTGGGGCATCTACCTAAATGGGTCATGCCGCAAATAATCCCACCCGCGCCTCGCGACCGGATCAGTGACCTGTATCCTCGGAAGCTGCGACGGCTTCATCTTGTACCTGCCGCAGTTTTCTCTACAACGAACCTTTGAGACACGATACAACCAGTGACCCTGGCAGAAAAAGGGAGCCCATTGTGGGAGTTGGCTGCTTTCTGGGCAGATCCCACCGACCAAAAGGGAAGGGTGACACTGAACAACTGGGTGCTCTTGCTTTTCGCATGTCCCTTTCTGTAATTTTGTTTTGTACTCATGTATCTAGTGCATTGCGGTTCTGCCATGGGCGATAGGGTAGCACAGAAGTTGTCGCGGGAACCACAGGGGACAGCGACGATGCTTGAACCTACTGTCGGTGTGTCCTACAATGGCAAATTGTAGGACTTTTGCAATCAGTCGATCGCCTGGCACCATGCAAACCTGCACTAAAATGACCTGACCAAAACCTTTCCATACCTCCGCGGCTACCACTCGGTGGATTGCGCATTGGAAAGCCTGCAACGGGGGGCAACGGCATGATACTACAGGCCCCGTCTTGTGTCACTTTCGTTGAAAGTAGATAGGTCCACTGGAAAATGACAAGAACCAAGCTGGAACTGGTGGAATGCATCCAGTTTCACGTTGAACCAAACTGACCCAAAAGGGCACCTATGGACCCATAAGAAATTTGACCCCGCCTGCTCAGGGCCATTCGACGCGTCAATGGATGTCACCAGAGGGGTCCATTGGTCACTGCCGTGAGGGAGATCAACGGACACTGGCCGCGGCTTCCTTTTGAGTTTTCCTCAGAGGTCCGAGATCGGTATCTAAGCAACCAAACAAGCCGAGAAAATCGAAAGTATCTGGCAAGGGAGGGTTCCAGGCACCCTTAAACCAATCCTCTGACATGCTTCAAAACCCGACTTTCAACCACCTCCCTTTGGTTTACCTAAGGCCACGCGACTCCAAGTTTCGCCCGCTCGAAGCCCGACCCCATCGGGCCTATTCAACAGCTGCTGCTTCTCCTCCTCGGACAGCGGCACGTGCTTCGGAACCTCAGGGTCGACCACAGAAAGCAAGGCGTGCCATTCTGCGGGGGGGGGGGGGAGGAGGAGAAGCAGTTGCTCCCCTGCAGATTAGTTAATGGGACCCCAAAGAAAGGGACGTCCACTTCCCAAACAAAGATCCCTCTTTTAAAAAAATATGGGCAACCCATGGGGAAATTCCGCTAAGGGAGCAACTCACACAAGCAATGGATTTCCAGCAGCGTTCCATGCCCGGGGGGTCCCAAACGCATCCAAACGCCCACCCATAGTTATGTGTATGTTTAAAATACTATGTAATGTGTATATATGAATATCATCTATATATATGTATATATGTATATACGTGCAAAGACCCATACTTGCATGTTTATGTGCACATACAATATCACACAAACAGCGGGGACAAACGTATCCGTCGTAGCATATCCAAATCTCGCAGCCCCAGCTCCCAAATGCAACCGCGTCAGAGGGGCCAAAAACAACTTCAATGTCATTGTAAAGGGGAAAGGTGCGCCTTTAGCACACATGCCCTTCCAATATTTGGCCCCGTATCCCCTGCCCACGTGCTTTCTAAGTTCCCATGCCAGCTCATGGTGTGTGATGTTGACGATCAACTCGTTCTCCGCAAAGACTTCGATCCTGCACACTTGAGTCCGACTTCCCAAGCCTCAATGTGGCCAACGTGTAGTCAAAACTGTGGCAACGCGATGCTTATGAGAACGTGTTGCCAACTACAGTTTTGCCAACGCGACAGTCCTCAATGTGGCCAATCCTTCCATGTGGCAGGTTCTCAAAACCGTCGCCAACGTCTTGGGCCCCAATTTTAAGGCGACACCAAATGGCACCAGCATTCCAAAGGCGCCCGATGTTTGGTAGCGCCATATACGTTGCAGAGCAAGCCACAGTTGGGCACTGGAAAGGGATAGCGCAAGCCTCCTTTCGCACAATCAAGCGGGAAATGACCACCACCAAGCGCCATATTTACATGTGACCGTGTACCGCAAAACCAACTGGAAGGAAGGAAGGAAGGAAGGAAGGAAGGAAGAAAGCAAAGCAAAGCAAAGCAAAGCAAAGCAAAGCAAAGCAAAGCAAAGCAAAGCAAAGCAAAGCAAAGCAAAGCAAAGCAAAGCAAAGAAAGAAAGAAAGAAACAAAGAAAGAAAGAAAGAAAGAAAGAAAGAAAGAAAGAAGCAAAAAACGCAAGAGAGAAAAAAGCAAGCAAACAAACCAACCCCCGTGTGTCTGCAATAATCACTTTGGATATGACTTTTGATTACCCTGTGGGGGAAATAGGGACGTTGTGTCCAGCAACTGTTTTGGAAGGCGTTTTCCAATGAACATTGTCTTCGAAGGCACTTGCACGGGGGTCGATCAAAGAAGAACCGGGCCTGCTCCCCGCAAAAGGGAAGCCACTACTACCAGAAAGAAGGATCCGTTTCCCGAAAAGCGATTCATCCAAGAACAGTGGCGGTTCGGGTTCTACGTTCAGCTGGAGGCTCCATGGTGTCAGGTCACCCTGCATTTGTTTTACGTACAAAAACGCAATGTCAGGCGAGAGAGTCGATCAAAGAAACCCGGCCTGCTCCCCCCAAAAAGGGAAGCCACTACCCCACAACTTTTACACCAAGACCTCCGAGGCCGGAGTGTCCTCATCTTCGCGCTGGCCTCCTGGATGGCCGTGCGCGCCAGCGGGGTGAGCGGCTGCCTGCGAGACACAGCGCTGAAGGTGGTTGGGTTAAAGAAGGAAACCCCGTGAAGCGTTCTTGAAGGTGTTGGGGCTCCTTTTGGTAAAATTGAGGGTTGGAACATGTGCTGGTGTCCTTGTGGAAAAACATAGATGGGTTCCCCTGGAAAAAAGGGACAGACACCAGTTTAAAGCAGTGGAACCCATCGACTGTTAGCCAAGCCAAGTTATAAAGGACACCTATGTGCTTGCATGTTTCGGTAAGACCCCTGAATCTTGAAACATCACGACCTAACCAAGTTCAGGGGAACGCCCAGGTTGAAGGTTGATTTACACCATGACGTGGGCTTTGGACACATCGCCTTGGATTTGGGGGGGGGGGGGGGCGGTTTGCATAGGTTGTTGCAAGGGAACAACAAATCTTTGCACCTGCTCAAGGAGAACCAAAGCCGGTGCAAGAAATGTTGGCGTCCGACACGCTGCGATCACGCGCATGCCGCTGCACCTCTATGGGCTGGAAACGCCCCACGCACGTTGAAGGCTGCGAGATTATGGCCCGCGTATCGTCGGCTCCCATGCGGACATGGGGGGTTGAGATACCTAGCAAACCATCATAGAGCAATCTCTCTTTTGGGACAGGGACCTCCGTTTTGGGGTTCCATGCAAAGCTGTTTTGGGATTCGAAAGCAGGCCACATGGCCCACCCTCAAATCCTCAAACCATCGATTACGGGTACTCCCCGTTATCCTGACGACATCGCCGGGATCAGAGTCCTAAAGTCTAATTGCTTAGGTGTTATTTTGGCAAACAAACATGATGGCACTGGTAGATCATTAGAACTTATCTCAAACCAGGGCCATCTACATTCCTGCAACGCTTCAAAGGATGCCTGAAAGTAGCCCTTTTTCTCACCATGCATAGGGACGGTGGAAGGTACCAATCGCAGCTTAAGCCAACCTTTAGAAGGGTACCCTCAAAAAAGAATCGACGCCCAAATGGGACCCCCGATCCAATCTCGTCGGGATGGCTTCACCACCAGGATGGCTTCCCGGATCTTCCGCTCGTCCATCTTCTCGGCGAGGATCCTGGGGCATTTTGACATACCGTGGACGACTCTCCATGTTGGAGCTACCGTTCTCTCCAAGACCGTCAGAGGTCTTGGAAGCTTTCGGGCTACCCAATTTCTTCCTTCACTACGATACAAACCTCGTTCTTTGTCAGGTCCCCCGTTCACCTGACCCGTTCTTGTGGGCATTTTCAGCATGGGAGCTGTTTGCCGGAAAATGTCCTGATCGGCTTCACCCCCACGCGCTTGTTCTCGTCCTAGCCGGGCGAACCGGGAAAAACGTACCAGAGAGAGGAGTGGATGAGTGGAGCAAAAAGAAAGAAAAAACGGCTGGATGGAGCCGCACCTGGGAAGAAACACACAGCTTCAACGGAGGGGAAAGAAACCCTTTGGACACCAAACGTGAGAATTTGCTATGTCCACCAGCCATTGGGTCAAGACTTGTTCATGGCGAGACTTGCCCCCCAATCAAAAGCCTTGTCATGGGTGTCCAAACCCCCGGAGGGGTTGACCACTCAAGTTGAAGGGAGCTTTGATCATGGCACCTATTGGAAGCAAATCTGAAAAGGACCTCAAAGCCGCGACTGTGACATACTGGCTGGGACAGGTATGTTGTCAAGCCCGCATTTGTTGTCATTTCTGGCCGCCTGTGTCAGATACATCGCATGTTTCGGCACATGCCATCAATGAGCCCAGTCTCAGGCAGCGGAGGGGTCCTGGTCTAGGCTCTGGAGTCCCCACCTCTGGTTTTGTCCCCTGAGTAGTTTTTGGAAAGGGCCCCTCTCGAACAAAACGCGTGAACACAGGAAAAAAAAAACGTGCAGATTTTGCATTTGGGTGATCCCGCAAGTGACGCCCCAAATGTGGCAATCTTAGAGGAGCGAAAGGGACCAGGAGGGTTGACAACATGGTTGACCCCTTTGAGCCCACTGCAAAGCCGGCGACAAAATCACACTAGAGTTCCAAAAGGGACTCTACTGACACCCCGCCCCCTGAACGTATCAATTTAGGGGCTTTCTAGTTCAAGTCAAGTCACATGAGCCCACCGTTGATGAAAGACCGCTCACGAACTCTCACGATCTACTTCTGCAAGGGCAAGTTGGATTCCAAGCAAGGTGCTACGTGAGTGATTGCGCAAGGGAAAATATTTCACGTAGTGATAGATTGCCTTTAAAACCAACAGGAGAAAATCAAAAGTATTCTGAAGCAAATGGAAGCCAAGCCTGCCATACAGACAATTTCCCCCGGCCGGAAAGAAGACGATGAGCTGGCGCTCAGAGAAGTTGGTGTGGTGCACCAGGATCAGAAACCTGCGACTCGGAACTCGGAACTCGGACTGCGAACCGATTTTGCCCCGTCGTATTCCCTTCCCAGAAGGGACATGGGGAAAGAGGGCCCTAGCTTTTTTGAGAACTTTGGGTGGATCCAGCTACCAAACCTAAGAACCAAAAGGTTTCGACCCTCCCAAATTGTTGGAAGGTGTGGAATGCCCAAAAATTACAAAAGCTGGATGTCATTTTGTTGTGGTTTCATGTTGGGGGGTCCAAGCTTAAAAACAGACGCACCCATGTTTTGCTTCCCAGCCATTCCTCCGTACACTTTTAGACTTAGAGGGTTTTACGACATAGCAAGGGATTAACAAAGCACCACTTTCTCCGAGGCGAACCGCGGCTCCAAGGGGAACCAAGGCAAGTCAAGAATTCCATCCAGGGAGTAAGGCCTTGAGCCAAGAGGTGGTTTAAGAAGACTGTCCCTGTCACTCCAGAAAACCGAGCTGCACATTTCTTCCTGGAGGTTGCCTTGAGAGGACACCGCATAAACGAACAGGAGACATGGGCATGTGTGGAAGACAGGCGACCCCTCCCAATTGGGGTGTTGGTCCCGCCAGACCCAAATAACTCCACGACATTCCACGACATTCCACGACATTCCACGACATTCCACGACATTCCACGACCCAAGCCCCGCCCCTTCAGTACCCACCGCCTCTCACGGCCATGGCCCTGCTCCTGCGCCTCCTAACATGGTCTCGGGCTTTGGGGGGCGTCTCTTCTTGTTCGAAGATGCCTCGTGTTTGGTGATTTTAAAGGGACGCCAAAAGGAACACCACCCATTTTTGTGGGGTCCAACCTTGAAAAAGGGTGGTTCCTTTTACAAACCTGAGATGATCTCGGATCTGGACAACAAAAGTAACTTGTTGCTGGTCAACAAAAAGTAAAACAAAAATAAAAGCTGTGTCGCAGCACGATTCTTGGTTGGAATGGTGGTGGGATGTAGCCTCCGGTTCGCTACTTCAAACTGACAAAACGAAGCATGCATTTGGAGTGAGCAATACGAGAACATGGGGAAGAAAAAAAGAGTATGGCATCTACTTCTGTGCAGAGGTTTGGAACCCCGGCTTCGATGCCCAATCTGGATGCCTCATGAAGCGCCATCTGCCTCGTACAAGGCTCGAGATAGCCTTTACATATCCCACCCTTGCATGTTGCACCACCTCCAATCGCCATGAATTCTGCAATTTCGCGGTACAGGCCCCTGGATTGCGGGTTGCCATCGCTTGGCCGGTGTCAGCCATGGGCTGTCTTGTGGATCAAACTCTGGCACTCGGAAGGGATGTGACTGTGAGCATGGCCCGGCTTTCCTTTTGGTCTCCGAAGGGCATCCCAAAAGAAACACATGCGCACACACACACACACACATCATACATGGCTCCTTCCACATCTTCTCAAAGTCCTCCTTCTTCTCTTCCAAGCTCCTGGGACATACGCAGCCATCGCAGCTACACCCTTAACGTTTTGGGGTTAGGGGAAACCAAAGGGCAACTGCGACCATTGCGGGGGCTTATTTGTGGGCTCGTCATTTCTTGCTGCCGGGGATAAACGGGAGCACGTCAAAATGGAAAGGACACCCTTCGTCTCCCGAAGTCAGCCCTTGGGTTGAAAAATACCAAATTGAAATGGCTCGCCAAGTAGCTATGAACAACTTCAAAGAAAGCCATGAGCAGCAACTTTCCCCTTTTGGCACAAATTACCCGGGCGTATCGGTTGACCAACAAATTGATGCGATGCAGGTATGACCAGCGCCAAAGTTGATGCACATTCAGATCCAGCCCTAAAATGCCTTGCTTCCGATTCCGATGATTTACGAGATACTTTTTTTTCCGGCAATGTTGCCTCCAGGGGCCTTGCATCCGTAGCCCTCAAATCGCGACATGCACACATCTGACAATATCACCTTCAAGGAGCCTGGGGGGATAGGAGTTCTCTCGAGCACGGAGAAGTCTGGCTCTCGCAGCAGTGTGCGCATGCCTGCCTGCAAAGGGTGATGTGTCAAACCACGAAATCGGAAATGTAGGGGCCCTTCCGAAAAGGTGCAACGTATTCTTCAGGGATTCTGTATGAACCGCGGCCCTGTACGCGACACCGGATCAAGTCCTCTCGGAGACGTAGTAGCCCCGGTCATTGAGCCTCGGCGACTGATGAAAATATTGCGACTTTGCAAACCGACATAGGAAAATTCGGGCTCATCCTGCAGGGTTTGTGGGGATATTCGTGAGTCTCCCTTCTTGTTCTTGCTGCCTCTCAGGGAAAGAGGGAATGCCATAATGCGCCATCCCTCGTGGTTTCCTTAAGGGAATTCCCAGGTGTGTTCCCAAACTCCTACGGGAACCTGCCCAGCAAGTTTGCCGGGAACTGCGTGAGTTTCAGCGAGAATTCATGTGCCGGATCCCAACTTCGCCCAACTCCAGAAGCTCTCGTGTTGCAGGGCTACCTGTGGCTCGCCTCAGACACTTGCGGCAAATGGCAACCCCGGAGTCAAACCCGGGCGAACAACTTGCGGAGTGCTCCGCAAAAACCGCGGCAGACCAGGGGCAGTTCCGAGAGGGGAATGTCAGAAGCCGTTTGACCCAGGAACTCCACTTATACAAATGTACCTACCAAACAGAAACCAGCACAAAAAGCACTGCGAAAATTGGCTAATACTGCGCCAAGCGACGCAATGCCGTGGATTCCCGCATGTTGCAAGTAAACCGTCCGCGCAATGTGGCAATTCCCCAGACCTTCCAATTTCCCAGGAGGCATCAACCCTAGCACGTCCGTCGTTCCTCCAACGACCAACTCCTCGCTGCATGGGGTGTTTTCTAACCAAACTTCCGGACGGCGGACAAAAAGTAGACGGCCAGGCGCCTGCTTCGCTTGAGCTCAAGGCCCACTGAAAGACGACCAGGTCGGGACTTCCCAAAGCCGTGCCCTGTCAATCAAAGCCTGAGAGCTTTGCTCTCAAATGAACAGTACCTCAGCTTTTGCCAAACAAAAAATATATATGTGCCTTTGGTTCACCTGTGGACCAAACCATTCAATTCAAAAGAGTCCCAAAGATCAGGACACAAAGCACACACACACACACACCTCGCTTTCGATCCGGACCCCGAGGCCGCGGCATTTGGAAGACCTGAAGCGAAAAGTGCGGAGAGCAGACGCACAGCCGACGGGCTCTGCTAGGATCCGATCCGATCTATTGGGGGGGAATAGTTGTCTTGTTCAAAACAGGCACCTTTCGATTTGATGCACCGGAAAGGAAAGACTCGCTTCACTGTCCCGGGTTGAATTTTTGCAGTGCTTGGACTGGATGAATGCCACAACCAGTGTGTTCACCCCGTGTGGCGCTTGTTTTCATCCGGAGCTCTAAACTTGTTGTCATACCTTTAGGAAAGCGCTCCTGCTCCATGCACCCACGGCCATATGGACCAGCTTCCCAAGCTCTCGGACTCTTGCGCACCCTGCAGCCGGGCCGCTGTCTTGCGCACGCGCCAAAGCTTGGTGACCTCATCGATGAAAGCTGTCGCCATGGCAGGTGAGTGGTCGCAGGCGTGGTCTAAGCGCCCCTGCAAGGTGGGACTCTTCACCCTTGCATCTCTGGCATTCATGCGCCTACTTTCGGCCACGCGCCTGAAATATCTGTCCTTCGTTCAAGCTGGAGCAACGCAAGGAATGCCGGGCGCGCTCGGCTGAGCTGTGAGGACATATCGGAGGGTTTCCCACCTGCTTAGCCGGTGATGGCCAATTCATCCATGAACCAGGCGCTTAGAAAGACCAAGAGGATGGACAGAATACAATGCAACGGTTGGTAGGTGGTTGATCCCAGTACTTCATCCATCCCAACTGGTGCAGGATTCTGTTCAACCCAAAAACCAAAATGAACCCCAAACGTCATACCACATGAAGACGGCTTGCTCAGGTCGCAGTCTGATCTTTGGACAACGTTTAGGCTTGCTTTGTCCAGCCAGCGTCAAGCCAATAACCCCACCTGTGCCAAAGTCGAAGCTCCTTATGCAGGTCGCGGTTCCTTTGCTGCGAAGCCTTCCAATGGTTGTCTCAAAGCCCTAGTAGAGGGTTGATGCCCATCCGCTCCAAGCACATGGAACCTTGATAACTCAGCACTGTCAGTGGGCCCTGTGCTTCGAGCCTCCCCCCGACCGGTTTTCTTGGGCATAGCCAGGTCAAACGGAGGTCGAAACCAGCTTTGGGATGGAAGCTGGTCGAAACCTCGGCAGCGCGCGCCTTCCAAGTTCTTTGCCACACCACTCCGCTGCTGTGAAGCCAGCCATTCACCTTCGTGGCTGAAATGGGTGGTGTCGTTTCTTCGGGGACCCAAAGAATGGCTGGTTTTCCTTTTGGCTTCCCTTGAAAATCACCACAAAAGGGTACCCTCGAAAAAGGAGTTCACCCAAATGGCAGGTGGGCCATCCGAATTCATGGGCTGGAGCCCTCAACGGAGATGTTTTTAGCCTATAACTTTAGGTCCCCCCCCAGATTTCATGTGTATATATATATATATATATATGTATGTTCATACCTTTGGCTTGTGACAACCATCTGCTTCTTTGTCCCAAGGAACCAGAACAGCCGCTCAAAGCGACTGGCCACCTTCCAGCCAGTTTTTGGTCGGTTCTTCTGACCGTTGCTGCTGGGGAGCTTTGGTTTCTGCCGCGGCGTTCCCGCACACTCTAGGCTTTGGTCGAGCAAGCCAACAAAATAACAGAATGCCAGGGCTGTTTCCATCAGAGTTTCTTTGTGTTCGCGCACCAAATCATGACTGATTGACTTGAACCCAGGATGGATATGGTTTGACGTGACGCTTTTTCCCAGAAAGTGATGCTCAACAAAGAAACAAAATGAAGACACGGTTTGACCCCAAGGAGGTTCCGGTAGGACTGAGTTTCAAAATGATGTCATTTCTTCCAAAGAGACAAACTCGATACCTGAATCAAACGATTTGAATGACATCAACCTCGAAAATAAGTTATGAGACCCTCCCAAAATGCGACCACGTCAATGTTCTACTTGAGCAGAAGGAGGCACGAAAGGAAGGAGAGCACCGCAACTTGCGAACTCGTCATGTGACCGTGTTTTGCTTTTTCTATGGGGATTGGGGAGGAAGCTTGGAGAGGAAGCTTGGGGAGGAAGCTTGGGGAGGAAGCTTGAAGATGTCAAGGCTCAACCAACGAAAACAACGAAAACATGTACCGGAATCTCCCATCTTGACAATATCCTAAAAATGCAATATTGTGCGAAAGCCAAACTGAAAACAAAGCGAGTCTTCCCCCTTGTATTGAGCCCAAGAGGTATGACAGGTATGAATTCAAGGCATACAAGGGAGCAAAGTGGTGGAGGCTGGAGATGAAAAAGGTTCATCCATCGTCCAGGGGCATCCAACCATGACACAGCAAAAAAAGCAAGTATTAAATTTTGAAAGTCAAGAAACTAGTGAAAGATGTGGAAACCACATAAAATCGCTTGCGAGACCCTCACACTGAAATGTGGCGAGTTGTATTGATGATTGAGCCAAACTGTTGGTGGGACGTATGAAAGTTAGAAATGGAATTGAAGCATATAAGGGAGTAAACCGGGTGGGGTTTCGGCTCAAACTCGAGAATTAGAACGGCCAAATTCGTTCTAAAAACATACAATTTTGACAGTCGCACCAATCCGAGCAGAGGGAATCTCCATCTCGAGACTTCGGAAACCACCCAAAAAAACGCGCACGAGAGCTGTGGATTATTGAAATCCACCAGAAATGCGAGAGCGTCCCGCTGCGAAACAAACATGGCACAGCAAACATCCTGGGAGTTGTTTCTTTTGCCATAAGACAGCCATAGCCATGATTTCTTGAACGGCTCCCCCCCCATCGCAGGCAAGCCCGGAGCCTACGCCCTGCTGTCCGACATCCACTCCCAGCGCCTCCGGTGGCCCGAAACTGGTTGAATTGAGGGGAAGCCAAAAGGAAAACCGAAATCCACGGGGGACCAAAACCGATTTTTACAACGCAAACCCATCAGAGCTTTGGCGTTGCAAGTTAATTTGCCAAGGGCAGAAGAGGGCTTCTATCACCACCCCCCAAACCACTGCCCGGGCCAAATGGGGTGATATACTGGGTGCAGTGGCTGTCAAGCCCATTGATTCTCATGCTTGCCTTGGGGTGGTTGGTGGCTTCGGGCTAGCAAACATCTCTCAAACTGTAAAAACTGCCGGCTCGAGCCCGTCTAAGAAACTAGAAGGAAACCCAATATCCCCCAAGAGGAGTGGAGGAAACCCGTTTGCAACCCAAGTCCCTTTTGTATGTTTGCTCCATAGGAAGGCAAAGGAAATCCAACCACTCGAAGCCAAAACGTTTGGACACTAGGGCAAATGTTGCAAGCCAACCATGCGCAACACTGTGTGTGTGCGTGTGCGTGTTTTCTTTTTGTTTGTGATGGAATTGGTTTTGCGATTGTGTTTAAACAAATGCGAAACAACAACAGCTTTTTGTGGAGGGGGTCCGGCTTTTGAGAGCCCATTGCGAGCTATCCGGGGCAGGCTCCTCATGAGCCCTTGCTCGGGAACTTCTGGGATGCACATCCAGCAGATCTTCGGCCCCAAAACAGCTGCTGCCGGCCTAAACCATTCGACCTCAGAAGACCAAAATGGGAAAAGGGGGCACCCAATGATTTGATCGCTTAGTTGTAAAGGGCAACCCTGTCCAAACACAGAAAAGGGGAAGCAACCCACCGGGTGTCTGAGATACGCATCCTGGGAATACCCCAAGTCAACGGGTTTCGGGCCTCCCCTGCTCAGGAGCAGCAGGGCCATGGCCTTGAATCTGATGGTTTGTGCCATGTTCGGGGGCGGCTTTGACACCCAGAATCCGAATGGTGGCTTCCCCATTTGGCTATGAACTTCAATGCAAGGAGTCCAAATACTAAGGAAAAGTTTCTCAAGTGACAAGATTGCCTTGCAACAAGACTAGTGAGTTCAATAATTACAACCCGGTCCTAAAGAGGAGGTCCGGAAAGAACTGGAAAATACCCATTGGCCAACCCCTTTGATTTCTAGGGGATTTTCATATGTTGCACCCAACAAATGGTGACGTTCCTTGTGAAACCACCGAAAAAAGCCACCAACAAAGCAGGTATCCTCAAGATACCACATCGGCTTCCCCTAGTGGGTGGTTTGGATTGGTGGTGTCACCACCATCCCAAACCAATTAATGTTGACCCAGGATTAATAAACCCGTCCCATTATTACGGGAGTGTTCCTTCCAAACGTGATGAATCCCCACTAAGAGGGGACACCCCCCTGTTTGTCAACCAGGGGTTTATTAATCCGGGGTTCACATTAAGGAACACCTGACTCATCGAGAGACCAAGACCACAAAACCCACGAGCCAATTCCGTTCGTTGAACCGAAAGGCCTTCAGTCGAAGCCTCAGCACCTGCTCCAGCTTCTCACCTCCCAGGTAGCCCATGCCTGACGTTCGGCGCTCGTTTTGGCCGCCATAGGAAAGATGACACAAATCCAAAACCCTGAGCAAACAAACCTGTATGTATAGAGTCTGATCTATCCCAACTGGTGCCGATCGGTGTGGGTTCAGTGCAAAGGAATCCAACCATTTGGCAAGTTGCCCACGCTGCAGCTGGTCGGCTGACCAAAAGCATCAGCCCAGAGCGCCAGGGGGTCACGTTTCGTCCGAAACGAGCGATGCGACGCAGCAGCTTTCTTCAATTCCTCTTGGGCGTTGGTTCCATTGACGCCCCCAGACTCCAAGCAACAAGGGAACAAGGGAACAAGAGTGCCAACTGAACAACTCAACAGCTGAACAGTCCTCGAATACCATGTGCTAAAGGAGGCGTTGAGACCACAGCAAATGAGTCTTGTTTCAAGGGTATCCTTTCTGGGGCTCACTTATAAAAAGGAAAACTAAAGGGAAACCACCATTTTGTGGGACCGGTTGATAGGATCAACTTATGTAGGGCCCGCAAGGACTGCCCCGCCTATCACGTTGCCGCTGGTCAGCTCTGGAATCGGCTCCGGCCTAACTTCTTGCGGACAACTCCGACGATAATTTTTAGAGGGACCAAGGAAATCCATCGCTTCCGTGTCAGAAGTGTATGGTCTGCTGACCATGTCAAAAGGTGCCCTGCATCACCTGCATTTTCCCTGCATCGCACTCAGTACCTGCATCACGCACATTCACTGCATCACCTGCATTCCCTGCATCATCTGCATCACGTGCATGCTTTTCCTTTGCATTGCGTGTATCCCCTAGCTCTATTCCATATTGCATGGATCCACTGCATTTGCAAATGATGGGACGGCTTTCAGAAAGAATGGTGCAGTGCTTCTTGCACCAATTGCATGCATCTTCTCAATGCACATCGTCAAAGCTGACGGGCAACAAAGAACGAGTTGTCATGAGGATGCCAGCAATGCAAGTGATGCGAGTGATGCGAGTATGCGAGTGATGTGAGTGATGCGAGTGATGCGAGTGATGTGAGTGATGCGAGTGATTCTAGTTATTCGAGTGATGTGA